AAAAATGGCAAGGGGTTAGCTCATCGTTTTTGCCAAAAAGTGAAAATTTTCAATCCTCTCCGTTTTCTCATTGTGATAGTCCCAACATGCCCTTGAATCATTATGACACCCTGTTTGTTCCCAAAAAGGATATTAGGGCAAATACAGAAAATTTCCAAAACAGCCCCTTTTATGAAAAAATGGAAAGGGGTTAGCTCATCGTTTTTGCCAAAAAGTGAAAATTTTCAATCCCCTCTGTTTTCTCATTGTGATAGTCCCAACATGCCCTAGAATCATTATGACTCCCTGTTTGTTCCCAAAAAGGATATTAGGGCAAATATAGAAAATTTCCAAAACAGCCCCTTTTTTGAAAAAATGGCAAGGGGTTAGCTCATCGTCTTTGCCAAAAAGTGAAAATTTTCAATCCTCTCCGTTTTCTCATCGTGATAGTCCCAACATCCCCTAGAATCATTATGATTCCGTTTGTTCCCAAAAAGGATATTAGGGCAAATATCGGAAATTTCCAAAACAGCCCCTTTTTTGAAAAAATGGCAAGGGGTTAGCTCATCGTTTTTGCCAAAAAGTGAAAATTTTCAATTCTCTCCGTTTTCTCATCGTGATAGTCCCATTATGCCCTAGAATCATTATGACCCCCCATTTGTTCCCAAAAAGGATATTAGGGCAAATATAGAAAATTTCCAAAACAGCCCCTTTTTTGAAAAAATGGCAAGGGGTTAGCTCATCGTTTTTGCCAAAAAGTGAAAATTTTCAATCCTCTCCGTTTTCTCATCGTGATAGTCCCATTATGCCCTAGAATCCTTATGACTCCCCATTTGTTCCCAAAAAGGATATTAGGGCAAATATAGAAAATTTCCAAAACAGCCCCTTTTTTTAAAAAATGGCAAGGGGTTAGCTCATCGTTTTTGCCAAAAAGTGAAAATTTTCAATCCTCTCCGTTTTCTCATTGTGATAGTCCCAACATCCCCTAGAATCATTATGGCTCCCCGTTTGTTCCCAAAAAGGATAATAGGGCAAATATTTCAAAATTCCAAAACAGCCCCTTTTTTGAAAAAATGGCAAGGGGTTAGCTCATCGTTTGTGCCAAAAAGTGAAAATTTTCAATTCTTTCCATTTTCTCATCGTGTAGTCCCATTATGCCCAAGAATCTTATGACTCCCCATTTGTTCTCAAAAAGGATATTAGGGCAAATATAGAAAATTTCCAAAACAGCCCCTTTTTTGAAAAAATGGCAAGGGGTTAGCTCATCGTTTTTGCCAAAAAGTGAAAATTTTCAATCCTCTCCGTTTTCTCATTGTGATAGTCCCAACATGCCCTTGAATCATTATGACACCCTGTTTGTTCCCAAAAAGGATATTAGGGCAAATACAGAAAATTTCCAAAACAGCCCCTTTTATGAAAAAATGGAAAGGGGTTAGCTCATCGTTTTTGCCAAAAAGTGAAAATTTTCAATCCCCTCTGTTTTCTCATTGTGATAGTCCCAACATGCCCTAGAATCATTATGACTCCCTGTTTGTTCCCAAAAAGGATATTAGGGCAAATATAGAAAATTTCCAAAACAGCCCCTTTTTTGAAAAAATGGCAAGGGGTTAGCTCATCGTCTTTGCCAAAAAGTGAAAATTTTCAATCCTCTCCGTTTTCTCATCGTGATAGTCCCAACATCCCCTAGAATCATTATGATTCCGTTTGTTCCCAAAAAGGATATTAGGGCAAATATCGGAAATTTCCAAAACAGCCCCTTTTTTGAAAAAATGGCAAGGGGTTAGCTCATCGTTTTTGCCAAAAAGTGAAAATTTTCAATTCTCTCCGTTTTCTCATCGTGATAGTCCCATTATGCCCTAGAATCATTATGACCCCCCATTTGTTCCCAAAAAGGATATTAGGGCAAATATAGAAAATTTCCAAAACAGCCCCTTTTTTGAAAAAATGGCAAGGGGTTAGCTCATCGTTTTTGCCAAAAAGTGAAAATTTTCAATCCTCTCCGTTTTCTCATCGTGATAGTCCCAACATCCCCTAGAATCATTATGATTCCGTTTGTTCCCAAAAAGGATATTAGGGCAAATATCAAAAAATTTCCAAAACAGCCCCTTTTTTGAAAAAATGGCAAGGGGTTAGCTCATCGTTTTTGCCAAAAAGTGAAAATTTTCAATCCTCTCCGTTTTCTCATCGTGATAGTCCCAACATCCCCTAGAATCATTATGATTCCGTTTGTTCCCAAAAAGGATATTAGGGCAAATATCAAAAAATTTCCAAAACAGCCCCTTTTTTGAAAAAATGGCAAGGGGTTAGCTCATCGTTTTTGCCAAAAAGTGAAAATTTTCAATCCTCTCCGTTTTCTCATCGTGATAGTCCCATTATGCCCTAGAATCATTATGACCCCCCATTTGTTCCCAAAAAGGATATTAGGGCAAATATAGAAAATTTCCAAAACAGCCCCTTTTTTGAAAAAATGGCAAGGGGTTAGCTCATCGTTTTTGCCAAAAAGTGAAAATTTTCAATCCTCTCCGTTTTCTCATCGTGATAGTCCCATTATGCCCTAGAATCCTTATGACTCCCCATTTGTTCCCAAAAAGGATATTAGGGCAAATATAGAAAATTTCCAAAACAGCCCCTTTTTTAAAAAATGGCAAGGGGTTAGCTCATCGTTTTTGCCAAAAAGTGAAAATTTTCAATCCTCTCCGTTTTCTCATCGTGATAGTCCCAACATCCCCTAGAATCATTATGATTCCGTTTGTTCCCAAAAAGGATATTAGGGCAAATATCAAAAAATTTCCAAAACAGCCCCTTTTTTGAAAAAATGGCAAGGGGTTAGCTCATCGTTTTTGCCAAAAAGTGAAAATTTTCAATCCTCTCCGTTTTCTCATCGTGATAGTCCCATTATGCCCTAGAATCATTATGACCCCCCATATGTTCCCAAAAATGGAAAAAATGGCTCATCGTTTGTGCCAAAAAGTGAAAATTTTCAATTCTCTCCGTTTTCTCATCGTGTAGTCCCATCATGCCCAAGAATCATTATGACTCCCCATTTGTTCCCAAAAAGGATATTAGGGCAAATATAGAAAATTTCCAAAACAGCCCCTTTTTTGAAAAAATGGCAAGGGGTTAGCTCATCGTTTTTGCCAAAAAGTGAAAATTTTCAATCCTCTCCGTTTTCTCATTGTGATAGTCCCAACATCCCCTAGAATCATTATGGCTCCCCGTTTGTTCCCAAAAAGGATAATAGGGCAAATATTTCAAAATTCCAAAACAGCCCCTTTTTTGAAAAAATGGCAAGGGGTTAGCTCATCGTTTTTGCCAAAAAGTGAAAATTTTCAATCCTCTCCGTTTTCTCATCGTGATAGTCCCAACATCCCCTAGAATCATTATGATTCCGTTTGTTCCCAAAAAGGATATTAGGGCAAATATCAAAAAATTTCCAAAACAGCCCCTTTTTTGAAAAAATGGCAAGGGGTTAGCTCATCGTTTTTGCCAAAAAGTGAAAATTTTCAATCCTCTCCGTTTTCTCATCGTGATAGTCCCATTATGCCCTAGAATCATTATGACCCCCCATTTGTTCCCAAAAAGGATATTAGGGCAAATATAGAAAATTTCCAAAACAGCCCCTTTTTTGAAAAAATGGCAAGGGGTTAGCTCATCGTTTTTGCCAAAAAGTGAAAATTTTCAATCCTCTCCGTTTTCTCATCGTGATAGTCCCATTATGCCCTAGAATCATTATGACCCCCCATTTGTTCCCAAAAAGGATATTAGGGCAAATATAGAAAATTTCCAAAACAGCCCCTTTTTTGAAAAAATGGCAAGGGGTTAACTCATCGTTTGTGCCAAAAAGTCAAAATTTTCAATCCTCTCCGTTTTCTCATCGTGATAGTCCCATTATGCCCTAGAATCCCTATGACTCCCTGTTTGTTCCCAAAAAGGATATTAGGACAAATATGGAAAATTTCCAAAACAGCCCCTTTTTTGAAAAAATGGCAAGGGGTTAGCTCATTGTTTTTGCCAAAAAGTGAAAATTTTCAATCCTCTCCGTTTTCTCATTGTGATAGTCCTAACATGCCCTTAGAATCATTATGACTCCCCGTTTGTTCCCAAAAAGGATATTAGGGCAAATATTGCAAATTTCCAAAACAGCCCCTTTTTTGAAAAAATGGCAAGGGGTTTGCTCATCGTTTTTGCCAAAAAGTGAAAATTTTCAATCCTCTCCGTTTATTCATCGTGATAGTCCCAATTTGCCCTTATAATCATTATGATTCCCGTTTGTTCCCAAAAAGGATATTAGGGCCAATATCGCAAATTTCCAAAACAGCCCCTTTTTTGAAAAAATGGCAAGGGGTTAGCTCATCGTTTTTGCCAAAAATGGAACAATTTCAATCCTCTCTGTTTATTCATCGTGATAGTCCCAACATGCCCTTAGAATTATTATGATTCCTGTTTTTCAAAAAGGATATTAGGCAGATATTGGAAAATTCCAGGACTGCCCCATTAATGAGTAAATGGCAAGGGATTAGCTCATAGTTTTAGCCAAAAAATGAAAATTTTCAATCCTTTCCGTTTTCTCATTGCGATAATTATAACTCCTGCTTGTTTTCAAAATAGCTATATATGCAAACAGAAGTGGGTTTTAGTGATAGATAATATCATGACTTAACCGAGAGAAAAAAATGTTCCTGATTACCATGAAAAATAGAGAGAAAGGGGAAATCTATAAAAGAAAAAAAAGAATTGATAAAAAAAATCCCCTGTACATCAGTTAAATTATTGGCAATTAGAACCTTATAGTTCTTCCCCGTCTTTGATCCACATCCTTCCTCATGACAGATATCTCTTCTGATAAGACCAAAATACTAAGAATTATTCACTTTCATTTCAATTCATATCCGGGATCAGCAGGAAAATAGTACAGTATCAGTCCATATGGCCTCTTTTTACATACAACTATACCTAGTACAGGATAAAGATACCATTTTTACATATTGCTTATTGTACCTGCTGTTACTTTTCAAAGCCTAATGATAAAGGTAATCTGAAAGTGCACATGGATCCCTTGTAGGCATGCAGATTAATATTGACGATATAAGGTTTCTTCCAAACCCTCACCAGGATAGTCTTGCAAATTACCTCCGGGAAAATAAAAAAGATTATTACGCCTCTGACAATTCATGTATTTAAAAAGACAATAACAACAATTAACAATGTCATTGTTCTAGGGGGTAATTGTCCTCAGGGAGGGGGTGTAATTTTCCTTGGAGGGGTTGTCCTTGGGGGGTAATTTTCCCACTGATAATTTGCCGGGGGGGGGAGGGGGGGAGGTGATTGCCCAGGCGGTAATCGTCCTAGAATCTGTTGTCTCCACCTACATGTATATCTTTCTTCCACCTGTCAAAATCTTTTTTCAATTTTATTCTTTTTTAATGCTTTTGTGAGAACTAACCTATTCCCTAAAGTTCCCCCTCATTTTCAAAAATAATCTGGACAAATGATAATTTTTACTTGACTGCATAAAAGTGCATAAGGTACAAAAACTTAGTTAAAACATCTCTAGTAGGTTCATACCGTTAGTATATTATTTATATTAACGTGATCAATAGACCGGTTAACTAACACATTCAAATTTATCGATGTTTCTTTCTTGGGGACCTGATGTTATTCCATAAACCTGTGAATGAACTACAATACCTGGAATCCAGTCTGCACACATTATATGTTGCTATGTCGGGCAAACCTTTCAGGTTTAAAATGGCTAAAATTTAAATATGTTAGTAAACTGGTCTCGGAGGGACCGCAAGCTCGTTCCCAAAATATCCGGTATAAGGGGTACTTTTCACGCACCAAAGTCCGGCTAGTAGTACACATAAATATGGCCCGTATTGACTTTACACACCGGACTTAGGGGGGTGTTTTCAAGAGGAGGGAACATGCATACGTGTACCCTAAATAACACTGAGTGAGGGGGCCGGGGTATCTGAACAAGCAAAATATTTTATCCAATGTATGTATGTCCTTTTTCAGCACTTTTTATTTGTCATCAAAATATTTCAAAATATTTAATGGAAGTTTCATATTCTGAAAAGTTTTCTTATTTTCTGTATGACTCACTCCATAGACTCACCTGCCAGGGTATGTAGGTGACTTTGACAAGCTCAAGGCCAAGGGTGCAGAGGTCATCGCCTGCGTGGCCGTCAATGACCCTTTTGTTATGGCTGCATGGGGGAAGGCACATGAAGCCGACGGCAAGGTAACTATTGTAGGAACACTTTTTTAAACAATTTTTTTTAATAAAGGAAATATGCTAAACTAACCCCCATGCCATAGTGACCCAAAAGTCATGATTTCCCATTTTTATTTTACTGTCCCCATTGGCCCTGTAATTGACATACAGGAGTTGTGATCAGTCTCATGATATTTAGCTCCATTCAATTTGAGCAAATAAGCAGAAGAGAAAGAAAACAAAAATCACAAAAATGCTTTTTTTTCTTCTTCAAATTGCCCAATTGCCGCTGTAAGGGACAAATAGGGGCTGTGATCAACCTAGTTATCTGGGGGACATTCATTTCAGGCAAATACGGTAAACAAAAAGGATTTATTTTTTTTCCCTTCTTCTTTTCTTTTCTCACAAAAATGCTGAACTTTGGCCAGAAAGTGGTGATTTCCATATTTTGCCAAATTTGCCAAACTCCCCTCCACTAGGGTCCTGATCAGCCTCATGATATTTAGCTATATTTATTTTGAGCAAATAAAAAAATGCTTGCCTCAAAAGTGGTGTTTGTCTCTAATTCTTGTGAAAACATTATGAAAGATAAGCTACCTGGAAAAGTTTATTTCGCACATTTCTGGTCCTATTATCTATCTTGATTGTGAAATGGGGTCTCTCTTAGAGGCGAATTTCTCCTTTCGTTTACAGACTTTTTTGGGGATAAAGTAAACTATTCTGCATGTGAATGTAAAGTAGGCTCTACTGCATCTGCAACATGACTAAGTGTTTGAGGAGGTGTGATGCTCAGTGCAGGGACGTGATAGAGAAGGACTGGAATCAAGCCGGCGAAACTCTTGTAATTTATTCAAACGCATTCTTGAGTAAAAGCGTAACAATGGGATGTGTAACATTCCACTTGGCTCTGAAGTTCCATGCTCCGAACCGCGCTTCCACTACGGGGACTTTCCGAAGCCAGGCACCAGTTTTACATTTATTACAAAATATTGAATTACAGGCAAAATTTCAGTGTAAATTAAAAACTTTATCTGGGAATTGTATTGGGAATAGTGCATCAAACACATTTCCAAATTTAGAACTCTGTCCTTCCTATAATTTGTGTGCCAGAGTTGGTAAAAGAAAAATTACATCCTGACAAAAACTCAATAGTTAAGGATAATGCGCTAATTTGTGCATGTTTTAATGTCCCGTTATTTGATCCATGATTTACAATCTTCAATAACATTAAGTTCGCTAATGCGTGTTTTTGCGTGTATTTTGTTCTTTTGAAGTTAAAAAAGGATGAAATTACACAAGTTTGTGTTCACTTGTTCACCTCTTTACACATTCAACAATGGATGAGATATCATTGAAAGGGACAGCGAACAGTTGCTGTGATATCATTTTCTGATGTAGGAATTCTAAATCCTGAAATTCATGCGCTCTTTTATCTCACCATCTGGTCAAAACAGTTGCAGATTAGCGCATAACTTTTTCGGCGGCTTGGAGCATGGGGTCAAAGGTGAGCAGCTTGATTCCAGTCCTTCTCTATCACATCCCTGCTCAGTGGTAGAGCAGTGCACTTGTAACCAGGATGTCCAGAGTTCAAAACCCAAGTCGATGCACAAGTGTCTTTAGCAATGCATTAATGCTCACTGCGAAGTTCCTGGGAAAGGACTTAAAGCTGTCGGTCCCTTGCTTGCTTACCTACAAGCATACACATGCTTTCTTAGGAGTCGGGTAAAACAAGCCAACAAGTAGTATTTATTAAAGTGGCATGTTCCCCGTATTCCAGAGGGCGTTCAAAATACATACCCGCTGGCGGACGGTGCTAGCTGCCTATTGACACCAACAGAATACGGCTCTTACGCAGATGGCATGTTCCGAATGCCTGCACAATGCCGATTATCGCATACATGTGCCGAAGTAATACCAATCGCAGTTCGGTTCTAAGATTCGGCTGCTTTTTCCGCCCATTTTCGTGACGTCAGGATCGGCAGCGATCAGCTGGCTTGACGAAGGCAGGCCAGGCCGCGCGTGCTTTGATTGACAGCTGTATGCAAATAAGAAGTCGATCTTCGGAACCAAGATGGCGATGACTAGAGCAGCGATAACTACAATGGCGGGAACGTGCCCCTTTAACATCCAGGTGTATAATATACATATATATGCGAGTGTGTGAGACATTAAGCGACAATGATCTTTTCTTTTTATCATAGGTCAGAATGCTAGCTGATCTACATGGGGAGTTTACAAAGGTAAAAATGATATACTTCATATTTGTTTTGATTCCATTTTGATCATTATGAAAGCTCGAGCTGGTCCCATGTTTATTTTCCATTCCTAGGGATAGTGTCATAATAATCACTTGTTAACTAAATTGTGGTCAAAAGCCTGAAATAAAATGCCTCACAAAGTCACCTTGTGAGTTCAAATTTAATACAAAGTTTTGGTAACATTTCAACAGGATTGGATTATGAACTTTGACAAAATTGGGCTCTAAAGGATTTCAAGAAAATTAAATATCAAATTTATCGGTAAATTTCAAATAGTGCCTAAGGCCATACAATGTTAGCTGCGACCATGAAAATCTTGAAATGTGCAGTTTTGATATGTAATCTCCAAACAGGAATAGGAAAGTGATCGATCATAGTCAAGAAACATTGTTTTCAAGCTAAAGTAATATCACTCTCAGAGGGTTATTCACAGTTTATTATTTACAATTTCATCACTTGACTCGATTTCAATTGCGACAACGATCGTTGAATATTGTAGGATCGCATATGCTTCCAAGATGTTCATTTGAACCAAATTCATGACCCCATACCAAAACTTTGTAATGTTTGTATTACCTTTAATCCAATTTAAATTTTTCCAAGTTTCAATGCATTTGATATACTTGTATATAAAATAATAAATGCTGAATGATATGTGTTATAGACTCTTGTGGATGTGAACCTCAAGTCTCCTCTTGCAACGTCCAACAGGCTGCCAATGGTTTTGAAGATTTTCATGTTAAAGTGCATTACAGTAGATTGGCTTTCAAACAGCAACCTAGTTTAACTGAAGTCTGCAACCACATGAATGAAATAACATGAAGATTTGAGTTGCAATGTACAGTTAGAATTTTCAAAATTGAATAAAGAATATTATAGATATTTTAATAAACATCTACAAACTAATATGATACATGTACATGGTACTTTCACAACAGTTGGGTTTCCTATCTACCAACCATTCATGATTCATCGTTTGTTATTAAAAACAAGAATTTTATAAAGCTTTAAAGAATGACCAAAAAATTACCTTGTCTCTATTGAAAATGAAAATTCTTAGGAAATATTTTTTTTTTAATTTGACTTGTACTGTTCATGGATTATGTACTTTCCATTACACTTTGTATTTCAACTCTACCATTTAGGCGGTTGATATGGTCCTCGATGCTACTCCATTCCTTGGAAACAAACGATCAAAGAGGTAAGTCACAAGGGGCAGTTGGTTCTAATAAAAAGTACCCCAATAAAAAAATTAAACTAGATGGAATTCGACTGCGCGCAGTCGAAAATGATGCCTCCGTCATAGAGCAATTTTACAAACCGAAACGGAAGAAATTTTCCAAATTCAAGTTCAATTGTAATCCATTAACATGTTCTCAGAATATCTTGATTACAAGCAATTTCTCATATACATATATGACCCTTTGATCTTTGACCTCATGACCCTAAAATCTACTCAGTTCATTGGCTCTGCAAGATTTCCTGAGTTAAATAGTAATCCATCTGTCAGTTCTAATGAGAATGCGTCCACAAGCTATTTTTGCATACATAATGAGCCCATGACCTTTGATCTTATGAACCATTCATTGGCTCTGCAAGATACATAAATGATCTAAGTTTGGCAGGAATCCATCAATCTGTTCTAATGATAATACGATCACAAGCTATTTTTGCATACATAATGAGCCGCATGACCTTGACCTTTACCTCATGACCCCAAAATCTAATCAGTTCATCAGCTCTGCAAGTAACATACATGACCTAAGTTTGGCAGGAATCCATCAATCGGTTCTTGAGATAAGGCGATCACGAGCTGTTTTTGCATACACAATGTGCGCTGTGACCTTTGACCTGGTGACCCCAAAATCTAATCAGTTCATTGGCTTTGCAAGATACATACATGACCAAAGTTTGGCAGGAATCCATCAATCGGTTCTTCAGATAACGCGATCACAAGCTGTTTTTGCATACATAATGAGCCCTGTGACCTTTGACCTTTGACCTCGTGACCCCAAAATCTAATCAGTTCATCAGCTCTGCAAGATACATACATGACCAAAGTTTGGCAGGAATCCATCAATCGGTTGTTCAGATAACGCGATCACAAGCTGTTTTTGCATACATAATGAGCCCTGTGACCTTTGACCTTTGACCTCGTGACCCAAAATGTAATCAGATTGTTTTCCTATAGTGATACACACCAGCACTAAGTTTGAAGTTTAAATCTCCAGTGGTTCTTGAGATATCATGATAACAATCTCAATGTATGGAATTTCATAAGTTGACCTCTGTGACCCTTGACCTTTGACATACGTGCTCCAAAATCTAATCAGATCGTCTTCCTATGGTGATACATACTATCCTTAAGTTTGAAGTTTAAATCTCAAATGGTTCTTGAGATATCGCGCTAACAAACTCAATACAAGGAATTTCATAAGTTGACCTCTGTGACCTGTGACCTTTGACCTACGTACTCCAAAATCTAATCAGATCGTCTTCCTATGGTGATAAATACTATTCCCGAGTCTTAAGTTTAAATCTTAAATGGTTCTTGAGATATTGTGATAACGGTCAAACGGGACGGACGGACGGACGTACGGACGGACGTACGGACGGACGTACGGACGTACGGACGGACAACCCGAAAACATGATGCCTCCGGCACCACCTTCGGTGGCGGAGGCATAAAAATGGATTACTAGTAGTGAAAGTTTGAGCAATATGAGAAAGTAATGAATTTTTGAAATTGTACATAAATTAGCAACCCTCAATCCTCTCCCATCTGCTCTGTTCTAAAAAATGTCAGAAATTTTCATTGCCTTAGTTGTAGTCAGGCGCGTACACAGGGGGTGTTTGGAGGGTTAAACCCCCCCCCCCCCCTTTGGTAATTTTTTGTGTGTAAACCCCCCATAAATTTCTCTAAAACCCCCCCCCCCCCCCCCCCTTTTGGATTTAAAAAAAAAAAAAAAATATTCCCATGGTTGACCTAAAAAAGGTGACCTTACCCCCCCCCCCCCCCCCCAACGGAGCAGAATGTCAAATTTTCAAATTTCGAGACCAAAAAAAAAAAAAAAAAAAGTGTCCTCTTACCATCCCCCCCCCTTCCGCTTATTCGGCGGCTGGCTGAGTCGTTGCGAAATTTTCGGCCCGATTTATAAATGTTATAACCCCCCCCCCCCCCTTGAAAAAATCCTGCGTACGCGCCTGGTTGTAGTAGACTTATTTCATACGGGGGAGGGGGGGCGGCTGAAATTTGTATTATAATTGTGTGCAGCATGACCATACAGGAAGGTAAGTAGTTGTTGTGTCAGCCAAAAAATAAGAAGGCTTTTTTTTGTGTGTAAAGTTGCTTCAAGCACCAAGGACAAATTTTTAAATTTTATTCTATTTTTCTTTTATTTTTATAGATATTCCCTCGTTATCAAGGACGGAAATGTGGTAGCAGTCAACGAAGAACCAGATGGTACCGGTTTGACCTGCAGTCTGGCCGACAATGTGCTTAAGCAACTGTGACAGATGAAAACTGGATCAGTCCATTCTAAAATGTAGAGTAGGTCAGGTTTAATCCACAGATTAATGGAGCACCTAGTGTAAATTCCTGTCATTGAATTACAAAATAAAAGACAAAAATCACAGTAATTTTTACTAAATATAGTGACATTTGAATCTATGCCCGCCCTCCCTTTAAAAGCACCCCCCTCCCAAGTCTGGTGTGTACAGTCAATACGGGCCGATTTTGGGAACATGAATGCGGTCCCTCCATGGGGGGGGGGGGGGGGATCTATGATTGAGTCATTAATCTCAAGTTGCCATATTGTAGTTTACCACAAACAATCCCCAACAATTGGATGTAAACGTTTTTACGCCTGAACTCTTTGCAAGACTTTCAGAATGAGCTTTTTACGCACAAAGTTTTAGTAGACCTATACTAATAATATTGTAGGATTTTGTATAAGATCAGCGAAATAAAAAAACTGTGGAATCTAACAGTTTAATTTGATGTTATTTTGCTGTGCATGGCATAATTTAATTTATACAGTATTGCATATTATAATCTATGAATAAATTAAATTGTCAGCTGATAAATGTGACGTTTCACTAATTTTGAATTTGTTGAATTTTTACTCTCTAGAAAAGACTCCTGCCTCATATGTATATTGCCACTGAATGTTGACAAGTTACCCGACGGTTGCCCTTGCGACTCCTGAACTCCCACCACTGCTTAGGAGCCAAGTGCGTTGCTCTCAACATTCAATTGGGCCTTTTTTTGGATATAGTCAGGTGGCTTAGCGTCAAATTGATCTATTATTGTTACTTGCCGGATAAAAGCATCATTTTTTTTATACAGAGCTTCCTTAGGACCTCCTAAACGATACAAGGCTAGGAGCCCTCGGCCAAAAAAATCAATTTAAGTCTGTGGGGGCAGGTAGTTGCCTAGTAGCCCAAAAATAATTTACAAGGTAACATTTCAAATCATGGTAGGGTAGGAGCCCCTGGCATAAATATGACATTCTTGCCAGGGACTCCTGCTAATATCGTTCTGTAGGCCCTGTACCAAAAATGGTACTTTTTGGGGGCAAGTAACAGTAATTTCACAAAGCCACCTGACTAAAAATGAATATCCAAGATGCATAATACCCCACACATTTATTTCCTCAGAAAATAATAAAATACACAAACTCTGTTCATCATAATTTTGATATATTTCCTGGGAAAATAATAGTGGCACAAACGTGAAACTGTAACATTGATACATGCATAGGCTCACAGTTTTATTCAAACACTGATCATCAACATTATGGCTTTAAGTATACTATGTACATTTCTTATTTCATGCTTGGTCTTTTGTTTATGCCACAAATCAAAACAATCAAAAAGTAAGCAAGAAGCTCATCTACTTCTTGCACCAATGTTTTGATTACCTGCCTCTATATTGGGCACCTACAATGTGGACATCCTTTCACAGTAGTCCTAGTTCTGCAAAAAAATGGTTATGTAAATCCAAAATGCAATGATACACATCTTTCCAAGTACTGATTTATACTGCATCACACTAGGTATCGTTAAATGCTTGTGTGGACAAGTGTGATGTCAAAAATATGTTTGTTTAACCATAAAAAATAGTACTCTTATTTTCACCACACAAAGCCATTTTACCCGATGGTTAATGTTGGGTAGTTACATAATTTTAACCACTACAAAACCGAGTAGAACTCTTTCATCAAGGTACTAGTGTATGCTACCTTCTTAAAGACATATAGCAAGAATTATATGTTAATACACTGTCTCTAACAAAAAAATTGTATCCTTTGTAGTTTTCACAGCCCTTTAGGTAAAAATGATGTAACCAAACTTTTACCCCTCCCAAAAAATGGCAGTTGTTAACTTCACCATTCATCCTTAACACCTGCAAAATGCAACGTCTAATCACATATATACAAAATTAAGATCATTTCAGATGCCAGCATGCTATTACATGATGACTTTTTTTTCTTAGCACTGTATGTGAAATGAAGCGACCTCGTACATGGTTTAGAAAGAAAAGGAGGAAATAATTATTTTGATTCATCCTACAAATTTCTTACTGGCAGTTTGTAGGCACATTCTCTAGAGCAATATCACTATCAAATATAGTCCATACACTTTTGTACAAATACCTTTTTGGTTGCGCCACCCTTTTGAGAAATGACAAGTTTTGCGTCACCCTAATCTTAATTTCATGTCGGGAGAATCCTTTCCCATCACTCGATACACATCTAGTACCACAGACATATTTTGTGTAAACAAAACACCCGAATGCGATGATATTCTAAATGTTACGTCTTCATAAATACCAGGTGAGGGATGCTTCCACAGCTCAATATGCCCACATGAAAGCCAAGTAGAAAAAAATCTTTTTCTTTCTTAATAAAAAAAATGTGACATTTCAACTATTCCAATACCAGAGTATCCTCTACTAAATTCCAAGCAGGAAGTGGAAAGCGAAGGTCGTATCGCTCCTATCCCATCCTGTGCAAAAAACTTTAAAATGATATCAAGAATTTCATCTAGCTCTTTGAATTTCCTTGTGCACTACCTAATAATTCTCATTAAAGATTCTTACAGATAACATATAATGCACTGTTTAACAATGATTGCACTAAAAGAAAAATTGTCATAAATGAACAAAAAGTATATCAATTAAGTTTTTCCTGCACTACTGAAATGTGTAATTTCAATACATTCTTAATATTCCAAGAAAATGAAATTTATACCAACAAAAAAATAAAAGAAGAAAAGGAAGCCTAACTTTCACATTCTATGCCTATATTAAAGCAGATGAGTGCACATCTAGATTTTTCTTGTGAGAATAGCGCACAATCCTATTCTTGGCTCATGAACACTGAAAGATTTTGGTCTGGTACATGACATTGTAGTACTGGATTGATATCACGACTGTACACATTCTTTTAATAGCAGATGACGAGAATCAGCACCAAATCATTCCTGCCATAACATTTGTCAAAACGTGCAAAGTAAATAGTGAGCAATCCTTCGCTTCCAATTAAGAAGTGGTCTTCTGAACTTGAAACTTTCCATTTTGGCCTACTACCATCATCACACACTACCATGCATACGGTATGTAAAAGTACCTAGTCACCAAGTCAGTGTTTAGGTCTCTCCTGCACTTGACAGCCGTTTCTGGAATGAAACCATGCAGTCATATCCTTGGAAAAAATACCCAAGAAGATTTTTCCTGCTTTGTCTCACATCATCCATCCTCCAATAAAACATTTTGGGCCAAATGTCTTTAGCTTGAAATTATATATTCAAAACGGATAGCTCCTTTACCTCGTTGACGTTCTCAATTCTCATGCTTATGTCGTTCACCACCAGATGCTAAGCACGAGATCAATAAAGTGAGGTACATCTTTGAAAGCATGACAATCAAAGAGCAGATGTTCAACATTCTAAAGCAAAACTATATCATACATCCCCTTAAGAACTACAAACTACTAGCTAACGACACATTTTATTTTTCTAACAAAGTATTTCAGAAAAGGTTTGCAGCTCATGTGCTAATCTCATTACAGACAGAAGGCATGAAAGCAGATTGGCTACACGGTATGCTCCAAACACCATTACAACAATCACAAAAGATTAACAGTTCTTATCAAAAAGGGAAACAATTACGAAGTATATGAAAGGGTGTCCACAAACCAGGGATATACAACCATTCACTGTTGACATGTCAAAAATAAAGAGAAAAACACTGCGATTACAACCTCATGTCAATACACCATTCAAGAATTGTTAGACATGATGGATACTGGTAGCTCACAGGAATGATACCACATTTACACTATAACCATCGACAACATTTTATACAAGTGGTGAACCTGTCGGCTTAATTCAAGGCTCTGGATAAATTGTTCCAAATAAATGTGTTTTATGAGAGCCTTCCAAAAGGTTCTCCCAATCATTAAAGGAAAAAAAACACGGAAATTTGTTGATTTGCAAATACAACAATAATAACACTGAAGGAAGTAAAACAAACCCTCCTTCAATATGCTTGATAGGGAATTCAGCTAATTTCAATATTTGGACAAGAAATTCAATTTAAAACAAGAATATGTACTTGGGAGTAGTACATTTCAATTAAGTAATGACAGTCACATGATAACTTTCTTTTCAAGATAGTTGAACATTCATACAAGACAAACATATTTGTACAATACAATTTTTTTTCAAAGATAAACTCTTTTGCATGGAAGATTTGCGCCACTAGAGATTTTGTCTGGTTTAAAATCTTTCAAAATACAGTACACAAGAAATCCACACTGATATATATATATATTTTTATATTCATATTTATAATACACAATATAGTAAGTATTAGAGCTAGTTTATTGGCTTGTACAAAAGAGATGTCACATATTTCTTTCGATAGCGATGTGTCGCACTAAGCACCATTACTCCATCCTGCAAAGCAAGGGTAAAAAAGAAAGGAAAAAAAAGAGGGATACAGTTCATGATTACGCTTATTTAAATGAGCTTTTCTCAGGTTATATTCAGAAGAAAATTAACTGCCGTTTTAGAATACCCATATTCAGGACTTTTAGATTCTGCACGACGAGAACGCGGACTGCCTTTTTAAGGCAATGTGACGTCACTACCAGTGCCTTAAAAAGCCTTAAAAAGTCCCTATTATTACTGATCTAAACCAGTTAAATTATGTCCAACTTGCTTGTTGATGGCATATTTTTTAAAGCTCTTTGAAAAGTAACAAAATTAGTTTTGTTACAAAATGCATTATGTACCTGAGTAAGATGGTTTTTTTTAAATGTTGAATGAAAATGAAAACAAAGATTTTTTTTAAAGACTTACTTTTATTGACAAGGCATACAGGTGATTCAACATAACATGGTTTGGTTCAGGCAATAGCGCTGGCTCATACTGAAAAACAACAAATCAAGATCATATTAAAGATACTATGTCCCTTTTGCGGCCAACATCTGTGAAATTTAAATGTTAGCAGTGTCCTAGTATTCAAATTATGCAAGGAAACCTGTTTACCTTCTAGACTTCACTGTCATACAATATTGAGTAAGTGACTGACATGTTTTTCTTTCTTTGGTAATAACATACATAAAATGAGCTGTAACAGGTACATGAGCATTTGTCTACATCAGAGTACATCATCTACATCAGGTTGACAAACGCAGGGTGAAGGAATATCTGGTAACCCCAATGTTTATAGTTGCTCTTGTTAGTATTTGCCCCAATTGTAAATATTAGATATTTTGGATTTGTATGCCTCCGCTACAAAGTGGCTGGAGGCATTATGTTTCGGGGTTGTCCGTCCTGTTCTCATGATCATGTTATCTCAAGAACCGATTGATGGATTACTTTCATGTATGATTACTGTATGTATCTTGCAGAGTCAATGAACTGATTAGCATTGTTCAAACAATTACAAAAGTTTAATTTTGCAAAGGAGGGGGAGAGAGAATTGCAAAATGGATCGTATCAAATTGTAAGCTTTACAAGTCAAGATTGTTGATAAAAAAGCTTCTTCAAAATATGGACTATGGACACAATATAACAATGTGGAGGTTTGCAATCTAGGATAAGGGGACTGAAATGGAATTAGTTTTATAGTGGGTCTGAAGGGAAGTCGGACTAAACAGCACAAAGCTCACAAAAAATATAACTTTTTGCTCACAGCAAACGTGAACATAATTTTGCCCACAAAAACCACAGCAAATTAGTGCATTCCACAGCAGTTGTATCAATAAGTTATCAATCTATAGGATGATTTATTCCCTAAAAAAGTAATTGGCTATTAAATTCATAAATTCTGCACAAGACTACATCTCTGTTTTCTCTCAATCCATCATATCCAATAATCCATATTTTGTACTCCCATTTAGGAGAGCTAATTCAGTAATGTCACTAGCAGTCTTTTCCCCAAACCTGATAAGCAGTAAATAAATTTTCTGGAAATTTCTATAATGGGGCGGGTGCCAGGCAGAAAGGCATTAGCCGAGGACTTGGTAATACACTGAATTTGTATCAGGAATTCTCCACTAAGTGCCTTCTGCCAGGAACACGACGATGACCGCAGTGCCTACCTGGGGTCCGATGTCCTTGTTGAGTATGACTTGGAGGAGCTGAGGGGGCAGGATGGGAGGACCGGTGGTACGTTGCTGTAGTTCTTGGCTAGGGATATCCTGATTGTAGTCCCCAGGAGGTGAGCCCGACATGTCCACGCCTGTGAGGGTTAAAGCAATGGAATGAATGTGAACGAGAAGTCTCATCAGACATTTGATGGATTCGTTGAAAGTGCTGAAACTGAGAAATGTGGTATCTTGGAATAAACAATTATATATAATACAATACAAAAAGAACAAACTATAACCAACATGAAATAGATGTGGCAAGAAAACACATGTCACAAGGTATCCACAGAGGTATCCATGAATTCTACAATAACGACATATATGAGTCGCATGCTCTAGTCTAACAACCCCCCCCCCCCCCCCACACACACACACTCGGCAATAAAACCCCTTCCAGTGCATTTTTAAAATCAGTTTTCTATTCAAACTCAGGTCTGAAAGTGATTAATGGGAACACATTCAATTGGATCCCATACGATTGTTTCATCATCCCAAGACCGAATGTGCTGGCCCATGTTCCTCTCAACATATTAAAATGTTCAATACTTGCCTTTTTCCCTCTCTGAATCTATGGCAAGAGCCTCAAATACTTCAAAGTCGGACTTGGAGACACTGATGAAGTTGTTGACAGTCCCAAATGTGTTGCTCTGCAGAGGCTGTTACAATTGAAGACAAAACATATATCATATCAGGGGGGCCTGATCAAATTACTTTATTAGACTAATTTGAACAAGAACATAACAAATAAGAACTGTGCAGAACAGACCTTCACAATGCCTAATATTACAATAAGCAGAAACGGATCACAAGATTCTTTGAATGACGTGATATCATAACTTGCACGACAGTAAGACGTTTTTCACACATGTAATTCTGGAATATCATTGAGCAGATGTCATAGAGATATTCACCCTAAAGCTTAACACTCTTCTACCAACAATCATAAATATTGTGCAGATAAATGTCATGCCAGATCATTGTTCATGAAGTGAATGAGGAAAAGCGTTTTCTATATAAAAGGGAATAACATTGAGAGAAAGATACCAAACGATGCACAGCCGTAATATTTGGAGTTGTTACAGGTTTAGAGTCTTTAGACTCGCCCTCTATATTGAGCCAGAAGGGTGTTAACTCATATACTTTAAACACAGAGTTAACGCCCTTGTGGCTCTAAACAGACAGTATGTATATTGACAGGTCAAAGTCAAAAATTAAAAAGAATTTGAGTACATCTAATTGGCGAACAGTGAAAGCTATACAAGGCATTCAAAGAGTGTACACAATTATGAGATGTAATTAAACACGGCCACTACACACACTATTTCTTTGGATTAGCATGGCGATAGCAAGTTGCATCTTGCCCTGTGCAGTTAGCATGATAAATGTGACTAGTGAGACATGAACTAGTACACAATAAACTCAACAGCATAAAGCCCCATTTAGACATGACGCTAAAAACGCTTCACAAAATAAGTAGCGTGGCAAGTAATACAACAATGAAAAGTGCATGTGCTTGATTGTCTTGTTCAATTGTGCATTAGCGGTTCTTGGGAAGCGCTTTTAATACCGCCTCATGTCTAAGCGGGCTTCAACAACACTCGAGACAGCGAAACAACATCGCCAACTTACTTCGTCCGATTCGGGTGAGGTTCGCATCTCCAGAAACGAAGAAGAGTGCATGAGAATCATAAAAAGCAAGATCCTTGTGAAGGAAAATGCATTTAATGCTTGCTAGTGGGGGGTGTGTGGAATGTTGAGTTAAATTGCAGTGATCTATTTCCCCCTTTCAATCAGAAATACCAATCTTTAAAGTTTCTCTATGTGCAACCAGTTGGAGTGCACCGTTATTAGTATTCAATGAACCATGCTTAAAAGAGTGTCTCAAATGGGCTCTCTCTTAATCTATGACTCGTATGTAACGTTTTTCCATTACTGTAACAAATTTTTACCACACTATCAGAATGTCCACAAAAATAGACATAACAAAAAAGAAAAGATTATCATATTACATACATCCACGATGAGTTTGAATATATGAGATATACATCTGCAAAATAATAAGATGAGTATCAAGTTCAGCCCAACTAAAAAAAAATAAACAGCTTCCATCAAATACAGTGTATATTATGACATAGCCAGGGGGAACAGAAAACTGAAGCTGAAGTAGTCTGCAGGCACAAACCTTTTGTCAGTTATAACACACAACACGGGATATAAACTGTAAAGCTTTGTTCAGATTTGACGCAGTAAAACTGCTGGTTTTTTTTAATGATGACGATAAGTGTTATATACTTCACAGAGCTAACTGAAAACTTGCCATTAACTTACATGAAGAAAAAAAAATGCACATTGCTTTTTTTGCAATAGTTAACTGCTTTATATCTTAATGAGCTTTCAGACTGTGGACTGCATTCCATACATTTTTAATTGTAGCTGTTCCTGCCTTATTTGAGACAGCCAGAGAATGATCAAGTTTGGCTAGTTTCAAGAATTTTATTGGTAAGTCGAGGTAAGAGGCGAAATGGTTTCTGTGCCTGCAGACTAAGCTGGAAGCATGATAGCAACAGTACCCCTTGACCAGTGACTGTGTATGACCTTGACCAATGAGTCTGTAGCTGGCTTACCTGGCGTGGATTGTGGATCCACTGTCCATCCACATAGAACTTGTACTCATGCTGACCCTCGGGAAGATTAACGATGGCTGTGAAATCACCCTGACTGCAAGGGGAAAGATATCGGATTAGTTCAGAATGCTCAAATTGTCAAAATACATGTATGAAAAAGTGACCACTTATGGCTCTTGCACATCACTACAATAGATAATAAATCTAGAAGACAACAATAATCTTGAAACATTTGTAAGATGGGAGAATTATAGACATTGCTTGTGAAGAAACTGAAATACAGACTATTTCACGTATTTGTATGAGAGCGAGGGGTGGCTGAGAGAGAGCATGAAAGAACGAGAGTGAGACAGTGAGGTGAAGAAGGGAGGGAAACAGTTACAGATATGTACCTGTAGAATTGCAAATACAGTACAATACAGCAAGGTTTATGATTCTGATGGGAAAAGATATAAAGCATATTCTGAAATGCATAAAAACATGAAAACACTTCAAAAATAACATCCTTTTATTTCTTCCATACAGGATTTTTTTTTTTTAATTTCATTACAAACTGCAAGGTAGTGATTGTTTACCATACACTTTATTCCCCATTCCCCCCCCCCCCTCAATCTTCAACATGGACAACAGGGTTAGCTTTATCACAGAATTAGATTAATCAGCCATCCTTGACATTCATTAGTAACAATATACCACAGCTGAACGTGCACGAGCTATGGCTGCAAGAGTTTGGATGAAACTTTGACCTTTGGTGAATGAAGGGTAGATAATCATAAACGAGAAAATGATCTGCACTACAGATTACATCCAGACTGAGACGAATAGAGGTTCTTTGTTTGCCTCGTCAGGTCGTGTTTACATTTCAAATATGAACTGTTTAGATAAAGCTCTTAATTTCATCATACACAGGGCATGTATGTATGCATACTGGCTGGATGTGTACCTACTAACTAGCACATCTTCTTGCACTACTCCTAGACGGATAGATCACGATATGTAGGCCTAGCGTAACATTTGCTTGCAGTCATGTAGCGAGCGGAACAAAAATCTTATGAAACAAGCTATGTTGACTAAAAAAGGAGACCCTGTACCCCTTGCTTCTTCCTTCTTCTTGCATTGCTTTATCCTTCTTTTTTAAACGAAAAGCCTTTAAATAAAAAAAAAAACTTTTCAATTTTAAACTTGAACCACTAAGCACTTGGATCAATAATATTGGCATTTACTTTCATTTACCCCCCCCCCCCCCCTCCCCTAAAAAAAATGATAATAATAATAATCTACCTTGTCCATCTCATCCAGACATAAATGGGTACTACTTGATATGCCTGACCACTACTTCTGGGCACTTGGCTATGCCCATAGCAATGATATACATAATGGTATACAGATATACAGGAGTACAGGTATACGGAACATCACTACATTGTACAAGTTGAATCTTTAATATCATTCTGTTTTAAAATGCAATATTTTGATATGTTTAAATTACGAACTCACCTCTTGATCATTGGAATCTTGGTATTCCAATTGTTGAATGATCCTGCAACAGCCACAGACTTGCCGCCCCCTTCCCAACGAAACACCACAGGCAGCGCACTGGGGTCCACGTAGGGCTGCTCCAACAGGGTCGCTGTCCGAGGCCGGCCATCGGGACCATCATCACGCATCAATTCCTGGAAAAGATAGCAGATTTCAAAACTGTTTGAGATACAATAAATGATTTCTTACAAACACATGCACAATACAGAATATTTACACAGTACAAGTCTACCTGGTTCATTCTGCCCTAGTGACATGCATTAATTGTTCAAGTTCTACTGATTAAAAAATTGCCTTCAAGATGAAAAGCAGCCCACATAGCATTATCAGTAATTCATACCAGCAGAAAAGGCTGGCATAAATAACTAATAAACAAGGCCAGCATACAGATGGAGGGTTAAAACTTGTTCTTAATTTTAGGAATTTCTTTTTCCTTGTCCTCTCTTTTGATATGGTAATGTAAATGTGATGACATGATAGCATGTTAATTCTGCATACTAGCCAAGCCAACGAGAGAAAACAAGATTCTAACCAGCTTGGCCAAGTTTTACATCAGCCCACTTATAATTTTCCACGCAATTCGAACACGATCACAAAGCGTGTTGTTCGTTCGATTCGCGGGTCGGTCATCCAAAATTTTGGCGGGTGGATCTCAAATCACAACTGGTCAGAGGTCACGGAGGCAAAGTTCACATCGGAGGAGTGTGATGCCTTCTATTCTACCCTACAAATATCAGTCGACCGACATTTCCCATCGAAAACAGTGAAAAAGGTAAAAGTGCATCAGGAAGACAAACCTTGTATTACTTCTGAGATTAAGAATGAGATCCCTTATCGCCAGCAGTTTTTTAAACAAGGTGAAAAAATCAAGCATTGTATTGATTCAAAAGTTCCGGGGTCAAACCTACAGTGTTAACCACATGCAAATTTTTCTGATGGCTTTAGAGTGATTTACAGTTTTGCAACAATTTTTATTGAATAAATTTGGCAAAATGTCAGGGAAAACTACTAATAAAAATAAACGTGCGGCTAACGGGGGGAGATAAGGAGACCAAAGAACTGATAAATATATGAAAAGAGCCAGATCGAAGCACAGGCAAGAATCGAACAGAAGTTGTGCAAACAAAAAAACAATTGGGAGGAGCTGGCCGTAAGACTTCACGACGTTGGCTTCACCCATAGGTCTGGTGCCCAGATCAACAATAAGATCAAGGATTTAAAATGCCACTATAAACAGCTTAAGGATGGTTTGAAGAAATCGGGAGGCTGGCAGCCTGACCAATCTGGGTAAATATCCCCATTTAATATCATGGGAAGAAGGCCTGCAATAGAGCCACCTGCAGGGCAGGTTAGGGAAAGCAGGCAGGCGGCAAAAAATGACAACAAAGGCGAAGAAGGAATGGATAATAAACTTTACTAAAATTGTTATTAGATGGTCAGGATTTACCAAATGGACGGTAAGGTTTCAGTTAAATAACACTCAGCCGGGGTTAGAAATGTTGCACAAGATTCATGTAAATGAAAATTGAAAATTAAAATGAGATTTTGCGCGGTTTACATGAAGAAGCTGGGTTAATGTCGACTAGTGCGGGTGCCACTACTTCCGGAAGTTGCGCCGAGTAAGACTGGGTCGGTGGAAGATTGTGATTAACTTAATCATGGCAAGTAGGTCCAAGTAAAAGCATATGGACAACTAATGGTGCAAGTCACATATTTATGGAATGTTTATTGCTGAAGGGAAAAACTTACGCTGACTAGGGAGCCACGTCTGAACATGGCTAGAGTTGAGGTCTTTCAGCTCAACGAAAAATTCCCTGATTATAACAAGATATCTTACTCTACATGCTTCTGTAGTAGTCACAGCTTGAGTGGTAGAATACGAGTGAAGGAAGAGGTTTGAAATGTTACAGACCCCTTTGGTAAACACCTGAAAACATGTCTCTTTTTTTCCTTGACATTTAATCTTATCTCGCCTTTTTTCAAGTCTGATATTTGCGCAAGGGCAAGGATGGACAGCAGAAAAATATTTGATATTCAGGAAAACACACTATTAATTTCCACAGCTAAGCAATACCATGCTTTTGACCTTTTAAGAAATCAACTGCCATCGGGTAAAATTTAAAAACAAGGATTTACAGAATGATTACAATTTCCCTAGAATTTATTTGAAATTATGTAAAATGTATACCGGAAATGTTAATGAAGGCTAGGAAGATCAGCATGGTGTTCAATTATAAGTTGATAACTTGATAGAGGGTATATCGGTTAGTAATTCATTGGTCATATTCAATATGCACATGAAAGTTTCTTGTTTTACAGTACCGTATATTATCATAGGCATACTAAGGCCGCTTCTCCATGGTATTAAAATATTGGTAAGCATTCACATAAAGCAAGGCGGCTTTAATAATGTACATGTAACATCATACAAAAATCGTACAAGCACATGTTACACTGTTGAAATCACATCAAATTTGACATCTTGATCCTACCTTTCCATATATAACTTATATTTCAATGAAAATGTCATACTATTTTTTCTGTTGAACATGTAGGTTGGGAAAAAATAGATGTTTTGAGAGCATGGAAATGAACATACACAAATGTATTTGGAGAGGGTAAAAAATAAACGTACATTCTGTCATGTCCTTGCCTCATTTAACTATGTAGGCATGCCATAAAACTGATAAGTCAGAGGTCATTTATGACTGAACATAAATTTGGAGCTTATATTATTCTGACTTCTTTGTGACTGACAACTTGGATGATATCCAAGTTTTACACCATGCCCATCTGCCCTTTTATATTTCTAAATCATGCCATTTTAATTTCATCAAAAACACAGTAAGTATACATGTATAACACACAACTCTCTCTCAAACACTGATAAAGACAACATGAAATACCCAGGCAATGGTAAAAAAACATAATTAGTGAACACCGTTATTCTTGGCACCTCTTGGTCTTCAATCAAAAAGCCGTTTCCCTTTTCTTTTTTCTTGAAAAATGAAATGAACACAATTTCGACTTGGCTGCATGGTTAATTTTTCAAAGAGGTGCATTCTACAGCTGATCTTGTGTTTTGGTAATGGTATTGCATTTTGAGATGAAAAAAAAAATAATGACCAGAATCAATATTTGAATGTTTTTAAGACACAGTAGATGGGACGTTTTGATCAGCTAATGGGTTTCATAACGGATGGGGGCATGGGCTGCATATATGCCCTCCACCCCACACAAAAAATAAAAAATCAGCCAGCGACTTAAAGGGATCCGGTAACTTTGTCTCAGATTCTGAAACAAAATTCTGGATTTAGCTCATGATGCAATGATAATTATAAACCTTTAGGTCAGTCAGGAACCCCATGACTTTTACAAGCCGATCGTCTGTCTAATTATCAAGATATTCATGATTGGAATTATACATTTTGAAAACCGTTCGCCTGACGGTTTTCATAACCCTACAGTCTATTGGGGAAAACGAGTATGGTAAAACCGGTCACTCAAAGATTTTTCACTTTTTTGGGGCACTTTTTGATCATTTTGAAGCGCAATTTTTTTAGGGCTTCAATATTACACCATATCACAGACACTGATAACACGTAGGGCCGTGTATCTCAGATTTAACATTGTTAAACGATCCCTTTAAAGTCCCATACTGTTGCTCAAACTGCCCGAAACACAGTGTTGTGATTTGATTACATACAATATACAGGAATACATTTTTGTGTTTGTTCCTGGAGGGGACCCCGGAGAGAGAGAGAGAGAGAGAGAGAGGGAGAGGGGGATCAATAAGCAGAGTAGGGTTACCAGACAGACTCACCCTGAATCTACCGGCAGGAAGATCAATACTGTCATCTAGAGAAGCCTGCTGGATGATGGGTATCTTGCCCGTCTTGAAGTCAAAGGATGATGACATGGACTCCTTGGTGGGAGACAGAGACGAGCCGTCCTTGCCATCCCGCTTGGCTGCTGTGTTACCCATTTTGGTATTATTTATTCAGCCTGGTAGAAAAACGAAAGAGATACAAAATTCAGTATGAATGAAATCTCCTGACCAGGGGGGTGTTTCAGAAAGATCCTATACTACACTACACTTACACTACCAGGTATAAGTGTTCCAAATTGGAAGAAACGGTACTCATTTTATCCATTTTCAAACCACGCTGTGTATAAAATAAATTTAAGCTTGTTGCTTACTTACAAGCAACACACATGCTTTCTTAGCAGTCAGGTGAAACAAACACACAAATAAAAGGTAAGCACACAAATAAAAGGTAAGCACACAAATCAAAGACCTAAAAACCTAAGAGGTAATATACATGTAACCGATATAAATTAAATACACATGTACATGTAACAAAAGATCAATTTCAAAATTGAATCCGACAGTCATAAAACAGAATGCGAGCGCACATCGAAACTTGACTATTACACATTATGTGCCAGAAAACTAAGCACTACACTTGCAGGAAATTTTGAAGTGGAAAATAGATAGGGACATCATTAAGTCCATGCCTAAATTCCACTCCTGGGAGCACTTAGGTGAGGGCTCTAACAGGGGGTGCAGTGGGTAGGTCTGTCTGACATCATAAACAGCAGCTGCTATGACGAGCTACAATGATCCCTGGCCTGATCTTCATCAAATTCAGATACCAAGTCAATACAAACAACCAGATTTTACAGTTATACTGTATGTTGACTGATTATACATGGCAACTTTCTGTTAGCTTTTATTTGCTATGAATTTGTTTGAGGAAATAAATAAAATTAAAAATATTTTGTAAGGTGAGGAAGAGTGGCAGTGTAGTTCATCCAGTGGACACACCATTTTTCACCGTTATGAAATGCAAATTGCTGTATACATGTACCTCACTGTAATTAAGAATACGGTACTGATCCAAGTACATCTTGGGGTCTTGCAACCATCCTTATTCGTGTACAGACTAGTGCTGTAGCCGAACCGCCGAACCACCGAACCGAACGGAAGTTCGCCGAACATGGCACTTCCGAACCGAACCGAACCGAACCGAACGCAAAGGCCTGGTTCGGATGTTCGGCAGAAAAATGTTAACGTTTTTGCAAGCTAATAAACTTGTCATTTTGTACCTAATTTTCATGTCATGATTGCTCATTTTATATTTACTTTTTTCCAATTTTCCGCCTTTCCATGCCTATCCAGTGGTGGGCGCAACTTCACTGGCGCCATTTAAATCCCAAATCCTGACCACGCTACGTCGCGATCGCAAGCCATAAACAAGATCATGTGCGTGATCAAAACAGGCTCAGCTCAAACCCATTCAACAACAAATTTATATTTTAATTGTAACCATATCGGACAAATTTTACAATATGAATAATGAAATAAATATATATTATAGTATAGTATTTATTTATTCAGGAAAAATAGGGATTTTATATTTTTCCAATTGAAAATAAAAACTTATAAAAAACAGTTATTGACGGGCCTATTCAAGATGGCAGCTTTCATGACTCTAACATAAGACAAAAACCGTCTCGGAAAATCTTTAAAAAATATCATTTATCGACAAATTGAAAACATGATTCTTTTAAAATAAAAAATATAACACGATTCAAGACGGAAATACGAATGTAAGTAGTATTCTTCTTCACAAATAATTACGTTTAGGGCAGTTTTTTAATGTGAAATTCGTGCTGGTCGGAAGCAGTGTGCAAAAGTCCTCTGTGCTGGTCGGGCCCGGCAGGGCGGGCGGACCGCTGAGGCTATAACGCTGCCTGCTATTATATTACCGAACCCCGAATCGAACCAAGTTCGGGTGAAAAATTGCCGAACTCTGCCGAACCGAACACGAACATAGCGTCTGACTTACAGCACAAGTACAGACTAAGGTAATATTATTTAGTACCAAATCTTACAATCAAGGTATCATTTGAAATTCATCATCTACATGTACCATCATTGAAGGAAGACTTTTCACCAAGATTCATATTTTATGCATATTTTTCACTTCAATGGTTATAAATGATGACCCCAATAAAGGGCCCAATGTTTGCCAGAGGCCTGCCCCGTGTGGTAGCAACTAGTATCAAAATCCTGCATTCTTACTGACAGTGAAGAAGCATCCTTAAACTTTAAAACATCTTAACATATTTGAATTCATTTGAATACGGGTATATTTTCATGCACGTTCTACTACAGCAGTTACAAAGTATGAACTGAATGTGATCAGGGGAATGCCTGACATGGCAACAACTTTTTTTTTCTCTTGGAGAAGAAGCATTCATAAATCTGAATAATATATTACCATTTTGTGTACTGATTCATTTCACATATATATTGCAATATTAGTCTTCTTTGCTATTCAAAGCATAACTTGCTTTCATAGAAGCCCACAATAACTTTCTTCACATTATTGGATTCCTCGAAGTACACATAAATGGGCCTGGCTATGTTTGTGTATTATGAATACTTGGGCCTCATAGTTTGCTAGGTATTGATTCTATATGAGGCTTCTCTTATTATTTGATAATAGATTTATATATTCTATGCATTTAAATTTAAGCATCATAAATACAGTAAAAAAAAATAAAAAAAAAAAAAAGGAAAAGATCTTGATCATCACTAAATTCACAATATTTCAAAGCATACTAAAAAAAACGACAATACAGCAAAATGTGCAAATCTTAACTACAAATTATCCTACAGAGTAAATGAAAAATCATACTGGAGTGGAGTGATAACAAAAAAATGCTGACTTGAGATACATGTACATAGCAGCTGAATTCGGACCAAATTACATTTCAGCAGACTATCTTTCATTCCAAATTTGTTCATGAATGGAAATGAGAGTCTCGGGGATCTATAATGCTATTCAGGCCCACCCAACTATGAGAACCAGGCCGACTAAAAGGAGTCAACCGGAACGAACATTGTATATGTGTTCTCTAGAGGGTGACACTATAATTATGGTTGATTCATTGAAATCATACTACTCTGTACGTGACTGAAGCCGTAATGTACAAAGAAAAGAGTAAACAGACTAACGACGTGATCAGCCAAAAACATTTGGTAGGGCTTCATGGATTTTGCAAACGATAGATTTAACTGGGAGGGGAACGTGATAGTAGAACGTGAAGAAACTTTATCCTCCATTTCTCGACCGAGTGACTACTAGAATACAAGATATAATCATATCATTAACATAAACCATAGTAAATGTCATGCCCATGGAGATACTACTGGCAGCCAAAAGATGAAAATGAGACATGTAACACATACATTCGCAATACCGGCAAAAAGTTAAACTTTTGTTTTCCCTTATATTATTGAGTGATAAAAAATATAAAATTCTCTTTTATTATCTATTCTTCTTTTTATTTATCATTCTTTTTCTTTTCTTTATTTACATGTATATCTCATATCTCTTTTATCTCATAACTATTATCGTTTTTTTTCTTCTCCTTTCTGGCTACCCTGACATGTAGTAAATCCATGAAGCTAAACCATGGCTTAAAATCAACTTCTTTGAATTTGTAAAATTCCAACGTACCTGTAGGTATGAGACTACAGGAATGATTTGCTCTTGGTGAAGCACCTCCCGTTTTCCACTCACAGGTAGGTACAGTGACCGGTGGCCACTTCTGGTAAAGCGTTATGCTACAATGCGCCGTCGTGGTGACTGTCAGCTGCAGAGAAGAAAAAACATACAGGAGACCACACTGAATATTTAGAAACATGAGATGGATTGATCCTATTAGAGTTGTGAAAGATACCAGACTGCATGAGGGCTGTCCTCATCTGCTCGATTTTGCCAAATAACCCGCTATTTCATCTATCCCAATCGCAAATTAACCAGTTAATTTGCGTCTTCATCATCATGCAGTTGAAATTAACTGGATATTTGGTCAAGAAAATATCCATCAAAGATTCAAAATCTTGGTCTTGTTTAAAAAACATCCTGCTATTTGGGAAATAACGGGCTAATTTGCGCCTGTCCGAGCTAGTTTGTGATGCGCATATCTATCTGGTGAAGATGCAATTTTGAGCTTTGGGATAATATCCCTAGTCTGAAAATAGCGGGATATTTGGCAAACTTGAGCTGATGAAGTCAGGCCTATGGTCTCTCATCAACCTGCATGTGGTCCACCCAAATCAAACTCAGTCCAACCCCTTACCCCCCTCCACACATCCCCATGACTGCAACAGAGCCATTTCAGTTAATGTCTTGTTATTAATACCTGCACAAAATCCCGGACTACACCATACCCGGACTACACCATATCCTAACTACGACAAGACTTGGCCAATGATCAAACTGAGAATACAAATATAACCTAGACTCTCTGTTCATATGACGTGTGGAGCTGCAAAAACACAAACGATACGTGCCTATAACCAGGGTTGGCAGATTAACAACTTAGCTAATAAATTTTGTTAGCACAGTATGTGTATAAGAAGCTGTGGATCTCGCTCGATTGGTGAGAGGAAAGTTCAATCCCTCAAATGTCATAGTCGAAGTCGAAGAAAAAGAGAAGAAACAGAAGAGAATTAAAAGAAGAAGAAAAAAAAAAGAAGAAAAGAAGAAGAGAAGAGGAGAAGATGAAGGAGAAGATGAAGGAGAAGAGCGACAAGAAGAAAAAAAGGGAGAAGCAGAAGAGGAAAAACAAGGAAAAAGAAGAAGAAACAACCAAAGAAATAAAAAAAAACAAGAAGGAGAACAAGAAAAAAAGTAGTCGTACAAGAAGAAGAAGAAGAAGAAGAAGAAGAGAAGAAGAAGAAGAAGAAGAAGAAGAGAAGAACAAGTAGAGCGAGGAAAACAAATCAAATCAAATGAAAGAAAATCAAAGAAAAGAAAAAGTAGTAGTACAAGAAGAAAAAGAGAAAGAAGAAGAAAAGTAGAAATAGAAAAGAAGAGGCCTATATTTTCAAATACATTATTATAGAACTACAATATTTTGGGGAATTTTCTTTTTTAATCCTGGATAATACATATTAAATAAATTCATACACATTTCAAGAGAAAAATAAAAGCAATAACATATTCAATTGTACCTTTAAATTCTTAGATAATTTTGTTTACATTTTTTTGTTGAAAACTGAATATGACAGAAAGTCTTCGATTGAAATTTTACAAGCATTTGACCTTGGCCAATGTCACATAAGATTTGTATATGATTTATATATTCCGATTTTATCATTTGGATTTTAAAACAGAGAAAACATTATCTTCAATAAATAAGTAAACCTTTTAATTAAAAGAGGGACATTTCAACTGTGTATTATGGTGACAAATATGTTTACTGATCATCAAAAGCATACTTGGCGTGTTTCCTTTTCTGAAATTCATTTCAAGCTCTGTTATCTCACACAGCCATGTAGTCCTACTTCCTTGTTTACTTCCACTGAGCATAACAATTTTTTTACAAATTTATAAAAAGATGAGGCATTTCCTGCATGCACATGTAACAGTTTAACACCTGCATACTTCACGGTGACAATACAGGTAGATACAGCTGATAAAGTGATTTTGACAATTTAATACCTAAAACATCTACAATAATCGTTAAAGAAAAAAACCCTCAAAGTTGTAAGAAAGAGGTCATTAAAGATGGAGGAAAAAATTGATATGTAAAGTATAGGGATACAAATACAAAACATTTAAAACTTAAAAGTATACATACAGTGTACTGTATGATCACTCTAAGAGAACATGTTGGAATACGAGGCAAATTTCCATAATTCATTCTTCATTAGGAGGTTGAGGTGGTACCTGGTGAAAATCGTTTCCCCCCCCCCCCCCCATGTCCAATGGCTTCTATTGGTAAATCAATAATGATAAATCAAAATCTACGAAGAGACACGCGGTGTACTGAAGGTCTTCCTGGAGAATGTCATCCGTGATGCAGTCACCTACTGCGAGCACGCCAAGCGAAAGACTGTCGTACCAATAGGCCATTTTCGTAATGTACCGGTAATCAAATGCAATGCACAAGCACAACTATTTGTGAAGTGCCTCATTATAAATTAAATTATTCACCTGTTACAAATAATTGTATTTCAATAGTCACAATGCAAATTGCATATATTACGTGTTGTTGGGTAAGGCAAGCTGTAATGTTTGTTCTACCTTGTGACAAATTAGATCTAAATTTACCGGCAGATTTTATTAGAAAAGTAAGTTATGCAGTTTAGTTTCGTCTTCATATCACCAATGCAACATAAAATTGTCGGTAAGTTGTGTGGAGTTATTCTAAAATTGTCCTGTATCATTTTCTAGTCATCCTACCGTTCATAGTCCCAAATGTTCAAATGGACTTGCTGTTTTGACTGCTGGATTTTGTTGTTGTTGCGCAATGGTCTAACTTAGTTCACAAGCACTTCAACTGTGCCTCGTAATAAAATGAAAGTATTTCCTAACGCTGAAATAAGACGGGATCTGATCTGGTTTTCACAAAAAGCATAAAAAGCATAAAAAGCAAAAAGAATTTCCTGATTTTTTTATTGTTGATTTTTTTTGTTTGTTGTTGTTTTGTTTAAGTCTTAAAAATAGGGGTGCGCCTTAAACACAGGTGCGCCTTATACAAAAGAGATTTACGGTAAGACTGAATATTCAAAAGGAAAAGGAGGAAGAGAACCAATGATAAGTAAGAAGTGGAAATACCTAAAGCATTCACACAAGATTCATGAATAAAGAATGAGAAGAGAACAAAGGAACATACCAGGTAAGATGGAAGACTTGGTTTGTAGAGGAGATGATTGGAGAAAGGAACTGGGTTGATATGTATAGAGAGAAGGGACTAGAGAAAAATAGTAATCGTAACGAATACAAGTATGGAATTAGTCTAATTTTAAATCTTACATTAGTTACACAAGTGCTGAAATATGGAAATAATAAAAACTAACCTTGTGATTCTTGCTGTCAGGAACTGCCGTCCAATGGCTCAGCTTTACATCAATGCAGTGCCTGGGCTAAGGCGTGGTATCGGTATGGCTGCAAAAGAAATGAATCAAATAACTTAATAAAGAATCACATCAAGGATTGAAGTAGAAAGCACAATGCTTATAATACAGGTAGACCTATGAACCTATGTTATGAAAGCAAAATATCTACTCAAGACATGACAGATGCATTACAAATCATCCTTTTATCAAACTGCAACTGATTGAACATTGTACAAGGAGAGGTAGAAAAGAAACTTTTCTAGCTCATCAGAAAGTCAGAAGTTGTCACCGCAAATCAAAATTGTGTGAGAAAAGATGAATATGGGGAACATTAACCCTTCCTTGTAACATCTAAGGGAAATCAACATCACTGAATCAAGAACACTGTATACAGCACAAAAGAAGTGTCATGCACGATGCAATTTAGCAACTCTCACATCACTGAATGTCAAATAAAGTTTAGTTATAAAAAGAATGAATTCTTATTATTCTTCAACAAAATTATCTTATCTTTTTGCATCACTGGGGCTATCCCAGATTTCAGAAAAAGGAGTCATCATGATGATGCTACTGTAAAAGTGGAGTGGAGGGGAGGGAGGAGGAGGAGGAGGAGGAGGAGGAGGAGGGGGAGGAGGAGGGGGAGGGGGAGGAGGAGGGGGGAGGAGGAGGGGGAGGAGGAGGGGGTGGAGGAGGGGGAGGAGGAGAGGAGAGGAGAGGAGAGGAGAGGAGAGGAGGAGAGGGAGGAGGGGGAGGAGGGGAGGGGGAGGAGGAGGAGGAGGAGGAGGAGGAGGAGGAGGGGAGGAGGAGGAGGAGGAGGAGGAGGGGGAGGAGGAGGGGAGGAGGGGAGGAGGAGGGGGAGAGGGGAGGAGGGGGAGGAGGGGAGGAGGGGAGGAGGGAGAGGAAGAGAAGAATGTGAAGGGGGGAAGAGGAGAAAGAGGAAGAGGAGAAGCAGAGAAGGAGAAGAAAGAGAAGGGAAGGAGAAGAAAGAGAAGGGGAAGGAGAAGGAGCTAGGAGAAGGAGAAGAACACAGAGGTGATGAAGGAGAAGAAGGAGGAGAAGGGGAGTCCTTGTATATTTTTATTCTACAAATGAAAATTGCACAAGACAAAAGGTGTAATTTTTCAAATTTTGGGGAAAGAAAATGTTATTTCTCGCTAGCACTAAGCAGTAGCACAACACTGTCATTATGATTTACCAAGTTACAACATTTTAGACTGAACGGAAGTTCTGAACACTGGTGTTCAGAATGTCCCATGAGATGATCATGACATCTCTATACACTAGTCTCAGCTCGGTAGATCATGAACAGAGACCAAGAGGGACGACGCCTTGTCAGAGTTATTTTCTTACAATACAAATCTACGCAACCCTCACCTCGCTGTAAAAGTATAAGCAGATGTGCCACTATTCGCTGCAAATCAAATCTTTTAGTTCTATTTCATATTAGCAATATGGTAGTAAAGTAAATTGTAGACAAATTCTATTCAATTTTATAAAACACACACAACTTAAATTAGGTCTAGGCCTAGACTAATATTAATTTAAAAAAACATTAAAAAAAAAACTAAATTAAAATCAACTTTTTACCTTAAAATTGTTAAAAATCTTGAGACTGCCAATATAAGGTCCAGATTTATAAGTTTACTTCTAACTTCTATACACCCTATATCTATACTATAGCCTAGGGTCTGTTAAAACAAATATCGAATAGGCCTAGGGGGCTACACTGACTCACCTTTGCTTTGAGCTTTGCGTGATATTAGGGCCTACTTGAATGTGAATGTCGAAGTAGCTGTTGCTCATTCAAATCAATCTCTGATTCTGAAAGTCGAAAACACAGATGCTAGATGTAAACTTGAACGTTTACGGCACGTTATCTTCGTCGAATGCGAGTTTTTCTCTACGAAACTAACTCTGGTAGCAGAAACTAGAACTCAGGATAACTGTAAAAGTCGAAATTGTATTCTACGGTGCCATAGTTGGTGATAACATAAGGAAAAACATTGGTCTTGCAGAGCAGAAAATGTAACTCATTGAGAGACTTTTCAATGCAATTTGCCCATATTGCACGTAGCATGCGCTTGCGATTTGCTCGTGACCCGATGACAACAAAAATGGCGGATCATAGGGTTCTTCCACTTGATGTAGGAATGTCACTTGCAAATATTATTTTCATGTGATAAATTTGCACTATGATCACCATCAAATTTTCTTCAAGTTAATTATATATTTATATCAACTACCGAACTTGATGTTTTAATAGGCATGCATCAAATGCTATGGTATATATTAAATAATATTATTATACTTTACCCTAAAGGAAGAATGGACGAATCCATAAACTGACCTATATACTAGAATAGGTCAAAGTATCCCTGGATAGAATTATTCACACAAAGCCGTGTTATTTACAAACAAAAATTGGGGAGGGGCCGCAGCATGGAATGGTGTTGTGTGTTATTTGATACGTTTGGGCACGTGGGCTAAATCAGGCGGGGAAAATTCGACGTGGATGCGTCGGGAGGGGGTGGGAGGGGGCTGGAGGGGTGCTGGTGGTAGTGGTACAATGGTCTCATTCTCATTTATACGCAAAAATAAGACGCTCCCCGTTCAGCCTGCGTTTTTCAACCTGTGAACGAATAAGGAAATAGGCTTAAAAACTTTGGTTCTCATCTTATCTCTGATAAGGCTGATATCGTATAGACCTGTTAACTACGTACAGGGTTCTATTATTTTGAATACAGATGAATGAAATAATTGATATTGAGGCACTTAAATATAATGTATTTCAGTAAAACAGTAATGTATTTCAATAGGCCATTTTCGTAGTGTAATAAAATTCATGCATATGCTTTTGTGAAGCACCATAATATTTCATTCACCTGTTACGAATAAGTGTATCTCAATAGTCAGCATTCAAATTGCGTATATTTGTAGATGCTACGTAGGACCAGGGAGGTGAAAGAACACACATTTTGCTTGCCTTCACTCAACAACACGTAAATATATGTAATTTGCATTCTATTTAAATACAGATGAATGAAATAATTGATATCGAGGCAGTTAAATATTATTTTATTTACAATACGAAAGTGGCCTATTGATGCAGTTTCTCTCCCGACTTCGACCATCTGCTATGCACGAATGCATCTAGTACGGTGGAATTCACTTTGCATACATTTGTTATTGATATGTTGGCCATCCCTTTGGCAAGCTTTTCAGTCGTCAAGAGAAACAATAAGACACTTTCGTAACTGTAACCAAATTCATACTTTAGTGCCTCAATACCAATTATTTTATTCACCTGTTACAAATAATTAAATCAATGGTCAGAATGCAATATGCATATATTTCGTGTTGTTAGGTGTGGCAAGCCATAAATGTTTGTCCTACCTAACAACAATTGATGTATGCAAATCGATATCTGAATATTGAGATACATTTATTTGTTACAGGTGAATGAAATGATATCGATGCGCTTAAGTATAAATTTGGTTACATTACGAAAATGGCCTATCATTCAAAAAGCATGCATACATTACACATGAGTAAACATCTTTTTTTGTCTACTATATAAAAACTGTGAATCAAGACGAGGTAAAAATGTAAAGATCCAAACAATATCATGCGCAGTAAAAAACAGACGCGAGCTATGTACATTTCAGTTCTACATGCCACGCCCACGTACACACCCCCAGTTTACTACACAATGTACGCTCGATCGTGCTTTCACGCGTCCCTCGACGACAACGTGATCCAGAATCTTCGTTCAAATTGATACAAACTCCTCAGAAAAAGGTTCAACTTAAGCGTTCGTATCTCTCTTGTAACTGTATTATCAAACTTGTTAATGGCATAATTTGAAAGGCTGTTTATTCCCCTTTGCAATGTTGCCCCATTGGAAATGGTTCATGGAATGTGCAGTACGTACATCTGAATAAGGGGCAAAGTGAAAATGAAACGTTGCAAATGGCATCGTTATTGTCAATAGGGAATTCTTCAATTGGTTGGAGGATGGATTGTGCTTTGAAGGAATAAGCATGCCTTTTAAAACATTTCAATTGAGATTTGGCCTCATATTCAAGTGTGTTTTCTAATGATACACATCCAATATGATTATATTAACAAGAGAGATATCAGCGCTCAAAACTTGAATTGCAGAACCTGTTTTGAGTAGTATCTATATGTAGTTGGATCGCAATTCATGAGAGTAGAAGATAAGGGATTTTATTTCATTATTCGTCGCAAATTGTTTTGTTTAACCGAAAGTAATTTTGTTTTATACGATATTTATCTTCATGTGGGCGAGCACGCATTGCTATACTTGGTCCAGGCGACACATTTTCGATCATTGGATTATCATTATTTACTAGTAGTAGCATAAGATCCCGGGATCCATTGCAACACCAATACACAACAAATATACAAATATACACAATAAATAAATAATACAAAATTTAAAAATCCTGGATATATTTGAAATACTGTTCATTTTACGATATTTTTTTAAGAGCTGATTTTATAGTGGAATAAAAATGCCTTTTTGAAATCATTGTTTTGCTTTGCCAGTTTTTTCAGAATCGTCATCTTCAAGGCAAATTAATCCAGCTGCAGATAGTTCACTTACCCGGCGATGAAACATAATTTTCTTTCGTCATACTGTACGTCACTTTGGAAAAAGTACAATTATTTGCAATGTAGAATGCTTGCATACTAATTTTGATCTTTAAAAACGAAAGTGACTATGTTCTTATGCGATTTTAGTCAGTATTTCATACTTATTAGTAATAAGAAACTGCTTTTGCAATGGAAAGGAAAAAATACAATTCTTGTTTTTTTTCAAAGAGGGGAAGAAAAAAAAGGACCCGCACATTTCATGTACAAAATCATGTCTTTAAAGTTTGATGATATGTTTTTTAAAGGTGATATCAGCCGCTCCCTCCCCCCCCCCCCCCCTCTCATTCAGCGGCTGGCAGAGACGTTGCGAAATTTTGGGCCCGATTTTCACCCCCCCCCCCCCCCCTTGAAAAAATCCTGCGTACGCCACTGGGTGATATACTTCCTCAAAATGAAATATACCGGTATATATTCTTATGTTTTACTTTGTCCCGCTAAAAGATTAAACATGTTTACGACCCATAACTTCTTGTCCCACTTTATAAAATACTTTCTTAGAATTCATCCTAAGTTTGCACTTTAAATTTTATTGGGACAAAAGATCCCCCCCCCCCCACATCTCTCTCTCTCTCTCTCTCCAAACATTCTCTTTGACTAGGTGTGACAATACTTTTTCAATCTGAACAAGAAAATCGAGAAAGACGAAGATAGTAAAGTAAGAAGAGGGAAAAGAAAAAGAGGGAAAGATCAACAAGTTTAAATGTAGTCTTGGCAAGACATTCTGTTAAAACCTTGATTTAAGACCAGTATGAGCTATGTCGCAACAGAGGTCTATTGGATACGTCTTAGGACTGTGGATCACATGATTTGTGGCACCAGGCGCGTACGCAGGGGGAGGGGTTTGGGGTTAAACCCCCCCCCCCCTTAATTTTTTTTATGTGTATGTTTTGTGTAAGTTTTTTCTGAACCCCCCCCCCCCTTTTAACATTTTTTTTTACTTTTTTTTTTTTACTTTTTTTTTTATTAAAAAAAAAAGTAAAAAAAAATAATTAAGCCAATGACCGACCTAAAAAAGATGACCTTACCCCCCCCCCCACCCCCCTCAACGGACCAAAATGTCAAATTTTCAAATTTTGAGACCAAAACAAAACAAAGTGTCCTCTTTATGTGTATGTTTTGTGTAAGTTTTTTCCGAACCCCCCCCCCCCTTTTTTTTTAAATTAAAAAAAAAAAAAAAAAAAAAAATTAAGCCAATGACCGACCTAAAAAAGATGACCTTACCCCCCCCCCCCCCAACGGACCAAAATGTCAAATTTTCAAATTTTGAGACCAAAACAAAGCAAAGTGTCCTCTTACCCCCCCCCCCCCCCTTATTCAGCGGCTGGCTGAGTCATTGCGAAATTTTGGCCCAATTTTAACCCCCCCCCCTGAAAAAAATCCTGCGTACGCCACTGTGGCACTAATGTCTTATGGGCAGGCAAGACATTCATCTACATTTGCCACTCTCCACCCAGGTGTTAAAAGGGTACCGGTAGGAGGAATTCCTTGAATGCTGTGTGCACCAAAATCGGTAGCCTAGCAAGAGCCGGGGTAATATTGGAGCGCCTTAATTGCATGGTGGATATGTGCACTTTAAAATAAGTGTTATCATTATTATTATCATCATTATATGAACCTTTGTTGGTTACTAATTCTGTTTAATTTTGTCACTATAGTTACCAACAAATAAACTACAGATATGTAAAACAAACACAATCGCAAAGACTTTCGAAAAATAAAATTACAACAATTACCATCGCCTATATTGAAATAAGTGTGACTATTGTGATGACACTTTCCGTAATCAGGAAATGGTTTCTATGGGATCTACAATAGGGTATTGAAATTGCTTAAATTGAATTCTTGATAGTCTTTACAATCATGCTACCATGAACAGAAAAAATGATGCAGAAACGTCCAAAACTCATTGAATAACATTTTATTGTGGGTATAGATACAAGGTACCTCATTAGCTCAAAATCAAGTCAGTAATTGTCATTATTTACCATTCCAACGTGCACGTGTTATTGGTTAATACATAAGCATGAAGTACAACTAAAAGGCATGTTTAATAGCGAAGTACACTTTCTTTTGCTGTGTTATTGCAAATTTACAGACAAAAATGCACTGTACATCTTGCTACAGTCGAAAGCAACCAACCATTTTTAAAGCATCCTATGTAATACTATCATTTGTGATGGCATTTAATGTGACAACTCTTAATTCTGCTAACTTTTCTTCGTGAGAACAACATTTTCTTTCATGTTATCCCACAAATAAAACATAAAGATATAATATATATCATGTCTAAATGGAACCACCTAAGAGAAGTAAAGGCAATGGAAAGTGGATAGGAAAATCTAAGGAACATAAAGAGAGCGAAAAACAGAGAAATTTGAAAGAGGAGGAAGGAGCAGTTTGGATTCAAGTAGGCAGGGATATATTAATTGGTCACTTTGAAACGAACACCAAGAAAAACTTCAGTTTCCATACATAATAATGCCTTACATCATACTTGCACATTCCCACCTCATTCATTGTGATGTAGGGTTATATATTGAATATTCGGGAACTGGAATATGAACGTTATTGATGTAGTTGTTTTTTTGCCTCATGAAACTTGTTTCATTTGGAAACGAACATTACCTTTTCTTTCACCATTCCTTCCAACATACTAAATTTATTGTTCTTGACAATATGTGTATTTTCATTTAATCAATCCCTAGTATAAACATTTCCAAAAGTTGTAAAGTTATTTCCTTATGTGAGAAAGTAATGTCCATTTCAAACTGCACCAAAAGCAAGGCTGCAATGGACAAAAAGATTACTTAATAAAGCAAAGACTTGTTTTGAGGCTTGAATGCCAATAATTAGAGCTCACTCCAAAAATTAACTATACAAGTATTTTCATTTTCAAAAATACAGGTGCAATTTATCTGCTTGGACATTTATGAGGTCTATTTCGCTTTATCTGGTGATAAAAAATACATAAAGAATAAATCATACAGCACATGAACAAAAACAACATTGATTTCACTGCCCTGCAAATGTTCCATTCCGCTGATAAGAAACAAATTTTCTTGCAATAAACTTTAACAAATAAGCTTTTATTAGTACCTAGACTGGCAGGGTTACTGGTAACCATTCAAAATGTATTTAAATTCCATTTTCTAAATCCCAGAATTGTAAGTGATGATGGTGGTGGTTTGTTCGCCAATGCTCATCCTTGCTTTATGAATGTATTAAGTTAACAAACAAAATGAATATTGATGCCTAGACTATTACCCCAGTCACATCAACGAGACACAAGACCAATGATGAACCACAAAAATACTAGATTACCTTTAATGGCCGAGAATTTATGTGATATTTATTCAATTTATTTGATTTGATATTGTAGTCGATTTGCAGTATACACTAGCAGGTCAGAGTAATACATAATATCTACTATAACTAGGATTCACAGAGAAAAAAAGAAAAATTTATTGACATCATACAAAGTACATTGTACATACATAGTATCATGAAATCAAAAGATAAATAATTATATAATGCACAGGTTGATCATGAGTCGTCCAAATTTGGCTAGGTAAAATAATAGAGGCAAGATTCTATCAATCTGAAAAAGAAAATTGACATTCATAACAGAATAAAGCACTATATCATGATTTCTGAATTGCATGAAATGTGATGAAATTCATCGCATGTATATTGGAACATCCATTTAGGCTTTGGCAAGGCACTATACATAGCACACGTGATGATTTTGGTTGGTGAAAATAAAACGGACTACAAAAAAAAATCAAAAGAAAACAGCATTTCTTAATATTGATACTTGGCTTCTGAATGCTCAGTAGATCAAGGCACAAAAACAAAATGGCGACCCTGGGTGGTGAGGTTTATTGCTAATACCGTTTGGTGATCAAATCATAACTGCATTTTTTTCTGTCCAGTCCATCATAAATTTCCACACTATTTTGGTTTTGAAAAAAATATCAGATCAAGTCTTGACTTAAAACTGTTCTTAAATAATTTCTTGCTGCTAGAGAAGTAAAATCTCTCACAATGATCCCTAATGAATAGGGCTGTTTCAAGAAAGACACCGTGATGTCCTGATAAGATCCAGTGCAGATACAGAGTTGGGAAAATGCATAGAACCTGTATGTAAATTGAGAGGCACAACCAAACTTCTTGAGAAATATCACTTGATTTTCATATGCAGTGTGTTTAAATGATACTTGTTTATTTAGCCTCTATTTGACCGATTCCGCCATTAGAAACATTTAAACGTATAAAATACAATGGCATTTTCCAGTAGAGACTTCAATATCCATTAAGGATTAATGCTTAACGCTGTGTCAATTTCCATTACCATGATACCATACAATAACTGTTACAAAAACATTACACAGGCACTTTGATGTATGCAGTTTTTACTGTTTGAAATAATTGCAGTGCTTTTTGCAAATGTCATCAAAATACTGAATTACAAATTGTGTCCAATGCGCTAGCTACATCTAACCTAAAGTTATACAATACAATCGACAATCTAATTATCTAATAACATCTACAATAAAGGCTACTAAAAAATAATCATTTAAATAGAAAATGCATGTATACAGAATAAATGATTACACCAAACAGTACAATTACGATAATTCATAAATATTAGGACACTTTGATGTATATATAATATATGCAAATTAAGGTGAACCGATGTGCTGGGGCTACTACCTTCAAACCATAAATACACCATTTTTGTTCCTTTTGATCCTGGCTATAACTCTTTCTAATACATAAACAATAAAAGCATATTCCCCAACTTGTAAATTTGAAAAGATAACCCTGCACCTCAACTGAATTACTCTAATTTAAGGCAGTCGTCAAAAATCATAGATTTTGTAAAGAATCTAATTAATTATAAACCTAACCTACCTGTTCCTTTTATCAACCAAGTCTACAACTCAAAGACAAATTCACATTGCGTATAATATGATCTCCGAAGAGTCCTACATAAGATCAAGCTTAAAGCCAAACCAATGTAGGTGGAACAAAGAATCAAATTGGCACATCGACTGGACATTAAAACAAAGATTCATATGCACATGCAATACTAGACTTTAATAGCATTTCCATTTATTATCTTACACAGTTCATCTTCATGAGCACAATGTTTAACAAAACTTGTTTTTCAAAAGGACGCATTCCTTCAAGCCATGTAGGATATAGCTTTCAAGGACTCCAAGCTATCACTTTTATCCACATTGGGACAAAAGTAAGATTTTTCTAGAAGTACTAGCAAAAGGCTTTGGCTCAACCATAATATTAAATGTACATTGTATTCTGTTGCAAAATAACTGTACACTTGGGAATCATTTCAAATATTCAATTAAATAATCAATGAATATTAATTGGATTTACAATGGATATATAAAAACAGGAGATATAAAGAATACATGATTATTTTTTTTCCATGCCATATGTGTAAAATAGGCTTAAGGGAGGCTATTGACCTCCAATCAATTTTCAAAAAATGAACACATATCATTTTAAGAATGTTTAACCTCACAGCCATAATTACAAGGGAATGACTGAAAGTGGCATTATTTTTTCTGTCTATTTTTTCTTCTTTCTCTCTTCTTCTTTTCCCCTTCGTCAAGAAACAAATCGAAAATGGGTTCCCACGATCTTTAAACACAAATTCTAGTATAAGTAACAGTACATGACGAAGAAGCTGCAGGATTACATGTAGCTTTTCGGCAGAGCGTTTACGGACATTTTCTCTACGACTGACTATGCTGCATTCATGCCACGTTGATGGTGTTGTTCAGACCAAGTTCGCCCTCTACGGTGGTCTGAAAGAGAAGGGGATATAAAAATAAGGTAAGTCAAATTTCGTTATGATAGATAAGAAGAGGGTTCTTTCTCATTATAAAATGGAGTGTACAAATGCAACTCAAAAAAAAATCAATGCAAACTGTCATGGATACACTCTTCTGATAAGTTTCAAATCATTTTTTTTTTTGGGGGGGGGGGGAAGGGGGGGGTTCCACTTTGATAGCAATTCTTGTTTATGCTACAAGCATTTTATAATGACACAATTAAAAGGATAAAATTATGGGGAGAAGGTGAAAACAGAATGAAAGAGAGAAACAGAGACATAAAAAGTGTGAATAATTCAATGAGATAATAAAGACATTGTTTTAGCTAAAACTTATTCAAATCAATGGCATGCACATATTATGAATACATAATTATGATAACGTTTTAAGTTTCACAGAAGAAGGCAATCACTCAAAATCTTATATTGCATATAATCAATCAGTTTCAAAATTCAAAGTATACATGTATATTTAACTTATATATATATATATATATATATATATGCATAGAAAATCAATGACGTACACTACATCATTATCTGATATTGTTTGGTCTGGAATCAAAAGTTATCATTCCTTCAGTGCCTAATACTTCAAATTTCAAGATAGAGACATCTGGAATGTAGAATGTATTAAAATAGTTACCGGTACAAGAAAATTATAAATCAAATCACTCTCTTGACTAATATGTGTGCATCACTATAATCTGAAGTCTGAAAACAACATACAAACTAAACAAGTAAAACAGACTCTGCATCACAAAAAATATGTAGATTATATAGGTATTCATTAGAATATACCATTAAAATGGAATCAACTGGAACATTCTTTTCAACTTTTTCAGGCATAAAGCAAATCACACACAGGTTTATCTCTACAGGCGGACCTCCACAAAAACTGTTTTCGTTGGCAGATATGTAACAAAAATTACCCAAATATACTGGGGTCTGTCATGATATTGTCTCCCATTATGGAATGATTATTAAATATTGAGGGTCATTTGACATTTTAGAAGTTTTTTTTAGGGATTAGAGCCCTGTTGGTTTAGAGCCCAGTTTAGAGCCCAGCTAGTGAACTTTCACAATTTTATATTCATGGACCTGATGGACCCAACCAGTAGGAGGTAAAATAGTCCAGAGAAAAAGCTGAAGAACATTTAAAAAAGGAAAAATAGAACAAGAGACCAACTTAAAATCAAGATACTAACATGATATGGTACACAATAGGTATCTAAGAAAAACAATCTAACACAACTAAACACCACAGCACACCTCATGACTAGATTACAATTAGACTTTGCAATTAGACTTTGCAATTAGACTTTGCAATTAAGTGCGAAAAGGTACAACAATTAGATACACAAGATGTTAAAATGTACAACACTCTTCGGGATAAAGGTCCTGAATAGCTATACCCTAGGCCTTTCAGTCTGAGAAAAAGCCCAATCAAATTAACATATTCTGCCATTTTGAACATTTTGAACCTTTTGATATTGAAATTTATTCTACAAATTATTTGGGGTCTGCATGGTTCATAAGAATGATGATTTCTCTTGTGTGACCTTTAATAGGGAAAGACCAAGGTCTTTTGTGACCCATACATTACGAAGAATGATCACGTAATGCTGATTAGGACAATATCCAAAGTAGTATTTTCCTTTGCATTAGGTCTGATACAAGCTCTAGCTGTCAACTACATCAGGTATATGAAATTCTTTGATGTAGTCTTTAACATATTAAACAACATTTCTTGGACTTGTCAAACAATAAGCAATAAACACAACACAGCAACAACAGATGCTCGGGCAAACAAGTATGGAAAAGCACATCAAACGTGCACAGCGCCCCCTTGTGGCAGGCGGGCACCTGCCTTACTTCTCACCTTCTTGGCGTCAACCTTGTCCTCACCATCGACTACAAACTTGTAGCTGTAGTCTCCCGCCAGGAGGTCCATTTTCACACTGAAGCAGCCATCACTGTAATTGTGTACATTAGGGGATCAACGGGGGTGAAGGGGTTATAAAGTATTCATCAAAGAGTCTTAGGGCAAGACCAAGGGAGGAGATGAGAGAAGGTACTGGTGCTGCCTGCATATTGGGAGGGCACTTTGCTCATTTTGTCCGTTTAATTAATGGACAGAATTTTTAAGATAGCAGGATTCTTGCAAATTCTTTAAAAAAATTGTACTTTATTTTAAGATTTCTGTCAAAAAATAAAAAGCTGCTACTTTAAAAAAAGATGAATGTATGCTATTTAAAACCACTCCCCCTCGCAGCTAGCATCACCCTTTCTTCTCATCACCACGTTTGCTTCTATCACTTCATGCTCATTTCTGCCATTAAATTCATCAAGTTACCTTCCACCACCATTACCTCCACCACTGACAATGGAACATGGCAGTCTTGACAGAGGATAAAGAATCTTTCCCATAAATAATAAACTCTGAACAAATGAAGATGAGCATGAAATGATGTCACAAGGTACCCTTCATCAAACAAACAAAAATCATAGAACTGATCGCATGATGTTACCTGGTTCATACTGGCCTTCCACTCCCCATCTACGATAAACTTGTACGTCCATTCCCCGGGGGCCAGGGACAGCGTTTGTGTAAACGTGCCTTCCTCACTACCTCAATGAATGAGGGTAGAAGTAGTAGTAGTAGTAGGGAATGAAGTGGTAGTAGTAGGAGTAGACGAAGTAGTAGTAAGGCAGAGTGGGTGGGATTTTAGTTAGGAGTATTAAAACAGGGACATTGATTTGTTTATCATATTCAAATTGTGAGTCATTTTAATTTGCATTAGAATATTATGAAGATTGGTAGGGGCATTTGGGGGAAATGATTTTGGCAATTGGGGCAATACAAAATGAGAGCAGTTTTGGGAGAGGTTTGTTTTCAAGGAAAAAAGAGTGCAATTTTAGGTGATGAACAAAGTAGTTTCCCAGGGCATTTGGAAGATCAAGGGCAATTTAAATGGGAAGGCATTTTTGTTTGTTTGTTATTGTTGTTTTTTATGATGAGCATGTCAAAGGGTTTTACAAGTGGCAGGATGAACAAATTATATTTTTTGGATCAAAAATGCATTTATTTGTATACAAACATAAATTGACCAAAAGAAATCCAACCAAAAACATAGAATGCAGTAATTTCAAGCATGATAATAAAATAATGAATGAAGTGGTGAATTATGGCGGATACGAATGGAAACAGTTTTGTTTTTAATGTGAACATGAAAATAAAAAATTAATATTTGATGAAAAACATAAGAAGGGGGGATACAGAAGTATTTAGTATAATTAGCGAGGTATTATAAGGAAAGAGGTTAAAGAAGATATGAGGAAAGACAAAAATGCAAAAACAGGGAACAAATGAGACACAAAGACACCAAAAACATTTCTGAGATAACAATGTTAAGGTGAAAGTAACAGAAACATGCAGCATGCATTATTAAGTTGTACATATTTGAAATGATAAATAGTAATGCTGTACCAAATATTTTCAATTCAATTTAAAGGAGGGGCGAGTCGTATGTTCCCAATGTACATGCTAAAAATGTGAATGGGTGTATGGTGAAAGTGGATAGGCTCTCATTCAGCATGTGTCTACAGGCTTTCAAAATAGCATTTCTTTTTCTACCTTTTAATATGGGTCTAATGGATTATTTCCAGGTATGCGCTTCTGTAGAATTCACTGTAAGCCTACTATAACGTCAACAGTAATGAAAAATTGTCTCTTAATGTAAAAATTCCCAGGTGCGCTTGCTGTCTCGGATGTGTAAAAAAAGTTCTGTATAATGTAACCATTCAAGGTCCCATGACGCAATGCATTATTGCATGCACAGCATCTATACAACATCCACTGTCCAGGATTCTCCTGGACCCAGTAAATGCTGTTTGTTGCATGAAAAGGAAACAGACTTGTCACATTCCCATAAGGGTTACTGTTAAATTTTCACTTCGAGTAGACAACTCTGTTCATTCCAGGAAGACAATTCTGTTCATTTCAGATTAACTGTAGAAACATGCTGATTGCTTGAGCCTTGACTATAATCAATTGATACTAGCCCCCCCCCCCCCCCTCCCTCCCTAGAACAATCAACCCCAATAACAACATCGCGGGAAAATCTAATCCCCCCCCCCCCCCCCCAAAAAAAAAAAAAAAAAAAAAAAATGGGTAACAGGTAGTTATTTGTTATTTAGGGGTAGATGTGCAGGGATAATTGTCCAAGGGCATCATTTTCTAATAGGGGAAATGTCCAGGGGTAGTTTTCCTGGGATAATGTTCCCAATAGGTAATGAGTAATGGGATGACTGCAGCTACATTAATAGTTAGTGGTAGGCGTGAGATGAGTTTTGCACACAGACTTGGATAAATTACGTATTCTTTATACACTCATGCACATCATTTCATACTGAATCAAAATCAAATCATTACATATAACTGTCTTAATCAAATGTTATGTCTTACATTTCAATTCCCTGTTTTTTTAGAATGGTGACATAAGAGGAAACTGTCAGATCAACAAAATGTGCTTCTAAATTGCACATTCCAGACAACAATATTTTTTTATTTTTTTATTTTAAAGTTTTTTTTATTGAGAGCCATTCTGGCATACACTACATGTGTTGATCAATACTTGTTAATGTCCTTTTAGACAATTAATTGATCAATATTTGCAGAATCAACCTTATAAGAATATGTAAAGAAGAAGAGTACTCACACTTGTGTAAGTTGTACCCTTTCTTTCCAGTCACTGAAGCTACCGGTCACAAAGACCTCTTCTCCGCCCTCCTCCCAGCGGAACTCAACGGACGTCTTCTTCTCCTCGCTGGCTTGGTCTCCTGATGGTCCATCTAGGTGGTAGTCAAGGAAAAGATATTGAGAAGTATTAGAGATAAAGCTCTTGGCCCATATTCTGAGGACTGGGGGGTGTTTCACAAAGATCCTAAGTTGAACTTATCTCTAAGTTGGACTTAAAAATTATGGAAAGCCGTTAGCATCTTTGAAAATATTTTGTAAAAGTTATTTTGAAAGGCATAAAATGTTGATTCAAATCATTCATATTTTCTATCATCAAGGAGATTTCATGTTCTTGATGTGGAATTTATAAAAAAAGTCTAAAATACGTGAATTTCTGCTTTTGAATATATTTCATTTTAAGGCTCCAATGGCTGTCCATAATTTTTAAGTCCAACTTAGTGTTAAGTTCTACTTAGGATCTTTGTGAAACACCCCCCTGGTTTAACTTTAAACATAGGTTTAAATTTAGACTAGACTGAACTAAACTGAAACCCGGGTTCAACTAAACCTGGCTTTCAGAAACTGAAATGAAACCACACTTCAGAATATGGCTCTTGTGATAAATTTTCAGGCTTCTTTCAGTTTTATGAATGACTTCATTCTAATATTTGAAAAGAACCGATATAAAAAGATCACCATTGTGTGGGCTAAAGAGTTTATGCTAAGCATACTGTTAGCACCTACAATATCCTGATCAAATTACTTTTGATTTCCATAAAATGCATGGGAATTGATTTCCTGATTGGACATTCACTTTGGTAATTTATTTTTTTTTTAAATTCAGAAAGAGGGTTACAAATTTCAGGGTTCCATAGAAAAATCATAGAAAAATTCAAAAGTATAATGAAAATAAACAAGAAATGGGTGGCAGCAGGTATCGTCACGGTGGAGAACAGGTCACCACAAGGTCAAGGTCAAATACATGAATGAAATGAACAGAGATGATGAAGAAGGTCTGTCAAAATCACACAAAATATGGATATGTCCCGGCATCATAATAAACTATCCATTAAAGCCTATCTGCACTAGTTTGGCCAGGAGGGATTAGACCTCCCAGCATGGTCACTGACAGGTGGTAATGTCATCAAATCAGCTCTCAATTAACATAAGAAAAAGGGGACCATGGCCTGGGGGACCAATGGTCACTGATTAGGAATTGTTTGCCATATAGAGGGCGCAAGTAGCTATAAGTAGTGCAGTTGGGCTTTAAAGATTGTAAATCTTTCAATCCAACTCTCTAGGTCTCCCTCTCCAAGTCTCACTTGTAACTGCTGCTACTGCTGCAACAGAACTCTCATCTGCCTCTTTGGCTTCAGCTGCAGCCTCCTTGCTGGGCTCACTGGGTTCCTCTGGAGCGGGGGTCTCTGCTGGCTGATCAGCCTCAGCCTCAGGGGCGGGGGCTTCACTGGTGGGGGCAGCATCTCCGTTGACCTCTGGCTCGCTGGTCTCCAAGCTCGCTGCTGGCTCTTCTGGAGCAGTCTCATTTTTTGCTGGCTCAGGCTCTGCTGCAGGCTGTAGAGAGGGATAATGGAAATTTTATCAAAGTGAAAGAACAAAATAGTTGTAAAGGAGAATATTGTTACATGATATAACTTTTAATATATATATCCCAATTGGTCCATATTTCCATAAAAAGGTAGCTTATTTGCTGTGAAAGGATTGGATCACAAAACAGAATTTTTTCAATTCAAACAAGTTAATGATCTTTTCTAAATCTAGGACTGGTCTATTTAATAACAATAAGCACAACAAAATAATTAAAACATAAATAAGATGTCGATCCTTCTATTCTATTCCCCTTCATAATTTCTTCTGAAGCTGATAAATACCAGCCTAGTAAGGCCAATTCTGTTTCCAAATCTAAATGGAAAGTCAACATATTGGAGATACAAAAAGTCTAGGAATTGATGAAGGATTTTTTTCTCAGAATGCGTAATTTACATGGCATTCTTGGGTAGAGAAGCCTTTAAAACTATCAGAAATAAGCAAACAAACAGCAACAAAAATCAAACGAAAACTAACCTCAACTGGTACTACATCTGGTGTTTCTGCTGGTGTTTCTGCTGGTGTTTCTGCTGGTGTTTCTGCTGGGGTTTCTGCTGGTGTTTCTGCTGGTGTTTCTACTGGTGTTTCAGCCAGTGTTTCTACAGGTACTTCTGCTGGTGTTTCTGCCGGTGTTTCAACTGGTGTTTCGGCTGGTACTTCTGCTGGTGTTTCAGCTGGTGTTTCTGCAGGTACTTCTGCTGGTGTTTCGGCTGGTGTTTCTACTGGTGTCTGTGGTAAAATCAAACATTTTGATTATTCTACACTTGCCAAATTCCTTTGAAAGATTATCCAATGATGCTGTATATGTTAAGGTGTCCCAGAGATTACAAGCAAATTTCACATGATCAATTTCATACAGGAATTTTCCATCACAGTGCTCCATATTGATCCAATTTTTAATTTCAAGAAAACATAAGCTCCTCTTTGTGAAAAAGCATTTACATATCGGTATGCAATATCAGACTAAGTGCTTTTCAAACCACCTGCAGAAATATTTTTATAAAAATATATATGAATAAGTGCAAAATTAAACTGCAGCTGCCAAAACATGTTTTTGTTAATAATAATTTTAATGTCATATAAATACAAATACAGTACATCCTAAAGTATTGTTGATGATATGAATTTGTAGACGTTATCATCCATTTCTCTTCTACAATAAATATACATTCCTACCTAAATATTAGTTTCATACTAGATACAGGGAACACACTGCCACACCGTAGATTACTGTAAAATACAGCAAATATTGTAATGCGCCTAAAAAAGTGTGCTATCTCTGTGATCTTGTTATTTCATACCACATGAATTACCATAAAATGCTAAGTGAATGGTATAAAATATCAGTGATCCCTATTCGTTTTCACGCCTGTATAACAATAGCCATTCAAATCATCATGGAAACTAGTCCATCAAGTGAAAATGTAACATTCACTCCACTGTAAGTATCGGTTTCATAATGTCAAATATTTTCAACTTGTGAGCATTGTAGATGATTGTATCAGAATGGTTTGAGTTTACAGAATTGTATTAACTACAAAAATAAATTAAAATAACCAGGTCAGTACTCGGATATTGTTGTTGTTAAGAAACCTTCACATGTGTTCTTCAAACTATAGTCGGCGTGGATCCTGGATATATTCCTACATCCCCTTTCACTTTCGTCATGGATTTTACTCACTTCATCTGTTCTATTTCTTCTCTTCCTCCTTATCACTTCTTTGTTGCCCTTTCTTTCTTGCTCTCTCTCCCTATTAACCGTAATTCCTATAAATAGTTTAGCCAGGGTTTAATACTATGTGGGGTGAAGAGGGCAAATGATCTTGCATTTCAACACTTGTTCTAATATAGCAGGCTCCCAAGGTTTTCAAAATATCCTTGAAATGACATAGCATATCAAAAAGCTAGTGACTAGTCTTGAAGGTATCGTTTTCCCCTGTCCAATATCCCTCCTCCCTTGCACAGTCATCCCCCCCTATCCCTCCCCCATCCTTCTTCAAGATTCCTTGCAGACTTTATCAGCCTTACACATTCTTTTCACTCCTTTGTGACATGCTACCTTAAGTTCTCTCTTTCCCTCAATGTAATCTTGAATTCAAAATGTAGCTAAAAACTAAACCCTGCCAACTACTTTCCCATCTACCTAGAAAAATAAGGGACAATTACTCTCCAGACGACTATATCCCCTTTGGAAAATAGACCAAAGACAATTATCCTTGTGACAACTACCACTAGAACAACTACTCCGAGGACAATCAAAGAGGGTAGTTGTCCCGAATGTTCTTTATTCTTGGAGGGTAGTTTTCAGAGAGGTTAAAGTCCATGGGTAGTCATCCTAACAAAAGAAAATATCATCTTGTCCATACCTCAGCAGGAATCTCTACTGGTGCTTCGGCTGGTGTTTCCACTGGAGCTTCGGCTGGTGTTTCTACCGGCGCTACGGCTGGTGTTTCCACCGGTGCTTCGGCTGGTGTTTCTACGGGTGCTTCAGCTGGAGTTTCTACGGGTGTCTCTGATGGTGTCTCAACCGGCGTCTCTGATGGTACCTCAGTTACTGTGGGTTCTGCTGCAGCTGGTTCCGATGGCTCTTCTGCTTTTGATTCCTAATCGGAAAGAAGAAATTGCATTTATGAATTCTGATGTAGGTTACTGGTAATAGATAATCTACCTCCTGTACTAATGGTATTACCGGTAGATGTTTCTCCTTTGGATAAAGTTTTAAAATGTTTTCAAACAAACCTGAGGAAAAAGCCCAATAAGCTTTTGACCTAGGTTGTCAAGAACATCTTGTCTGTGAAGCATGTGTGAAAATTGAATACAAAATGAAAGTGGTCAAGCAATTCTCTTAAAATTTGGTGCAATAAAGTGCAAAGTCGGTGCAAAATAACTTCTTTCCCTAAACCATAAAAAAGAGAAGCAAACTTGAATTTGACTTTTGATTGATGTGATAAAATAACAATGACTATGTCATTGCATAATCAGTATACCTCCACTGAATCTATTTGTGCAGGTGTGGGTTCTTGGGGCGTGTCTGGGGTGTCAGAGGGAACATCCTGGGGAACCTGTTCTGGGGTCTGGTCTTCTGATGGTGTGCTTTCTACCGGCTCTTGCTCTGCCTGGACTGGTTCTGGAGTTGGCTCTTCTACTGGGGTTGGTTCTTCTACTGGGGTTGGTTCTTCTACTGGGGTTGGTTCCTCTACAGGCATAGGTGTGGCTTCAGGTGCAGCTTCAGGTGTTGGTTCTGGAGTGGGTTCTGGTGTGGGTTCCTGGGCAGGTTCTTCTACTGGTGCTACTGGTTCTACTACTGGTGCTTCTGGTTCTGGTGTTGGTTCTGGTGTTGTTTCTGGAGTAGGTTCTGGAGTAGGTTCTGGAGTAGGTTCTGGAGTAGGTTCTGGAGTAGGTTCTGCTGCTGCTGCTTCTGGTTCTGGTTCTGGTTCTGGCTGGGATGGTTCCTCAGGGGTAGTTTCAACTAGTGCAGGGGTTTCGGGTGAGGGCTCTGCGGGTGCAATTACAATGGGTGCAATTACAACGGGTGCAGAAGGGGTTTGTTCAGGTTCTGATGGTACCTGCTCTGGTTGGGATGGTTCTGAAGGTGCTTCCTCTTTGACAGGCTCAGGTTCTGCTGGTGAAGGGGCAGGTTCCTCTGCTTGGGTTGATGGTACTGATGGTTCTGGTTCTGTTGATACTGGTTCTGGTGATGCTGCTGCTGCTTCTGCTTCTGCTTTAGGCTCCTCAGGTGCAGGTTCTTCCGATTTCTGTTCAACCTTAAAGGAAACAAAGAAAACAGAAAAGTACATATAAATATATTTATATTCCAGACATTGTGAAATAACACATGCAACAAAATCATCCATTCTATCTTTTCATTTTGTCATAGATGATGTTATGAGGAAAGCAACCAACTAATATTCATACAAATTATGTGCACCATCTGGAACTTTCCTACACTTAGTTAGTTTCTTAATTTCCCTTTTTGGCATATACCAATTATGTACCACATTTTTGTCTTGATCTTGAACTAGCAATTTCGCTTTCTTGTATGAAAAAAAATGATTGTATCATTTCATCTTTCAAACAACCAATAACCATAACACTTCTACATCTCTTTTCAGAACAACATAAAACTCAATCAAAGCTATTTAGATTTGTCAACTTGTCTCCCATTAGTTTCACAACTCAACACCCATTCTCCAATAGAAAATACTTCAGGAGGTATTAAGGAAAAAGAAATATAGCAGTTTGAAGTTCAGCATATAATAAGTGTCAATACATTTTTGACATTTGCCATAATGTTGATCTCTTTGCAATTTGTCCACCTCTCAATTAAGTATGGCTGAATTATTATAAGTGCAAGTATTTCATTTTGTATTTAGTTTGTTTTCTCATGCATCATCCATTTAGCCTCTCACGTCACAATTTCATACTTCTTCCAGCAGTTGCCATGGTGATAATGAATTTCCTGCATTTGTTGGCTTGAGCGCATCAAACCTCCATCACAAGGCAAGACTGCTATCAGGGTAGAATTACCATTCCAACAGCTAGAATGTCACACTGTTCCTTATTCATGGTGGCTAGCTCAGTGCCGCTATTATGCTAATTTCAGATTTCAAGTATACTTTAGGCCCATTTACATTGTGGAAAAACCATGAGTGTTTACACTACTGGAAACACCCATAAAACGTCAGTGTTCGATAATTCTGTCTTTTTTAATGTAAGTTGTGCACATGTGCCACTTGTGGCTGCTCTGCATGCATTAGCAATTTAGCATGGACGTGAGGAGAGTCACAAGACCCCAAAAACAGAATAATTCACTGGTTTATTGAGAGCAAGCATTTACACTGCAAAAACAGGTGGAGTTTCAACAAAAAACACTCCAGAGGTGGGTTCATATTTTAGGGGTTTCGCTTATGTTTATGGGAAGATGCCTAGCAAATTCTGACAAAACTGTGAAATGTGAGAAAAAATGATGTTTTTTTTTTGGTAGTGTAAATGCCCCTATTGTAAGGTGCCTGCAGAAGACATCAGCAGGGTGCTTTCTTATGTAAATTAAACTATAAACAATTTCCTGATATGCTTTTATGCCTGGCATATGTTTTATCCTGTATGTACAGTGGCTTTAAAGATCAAATTATGACAAATTCAGATTTGTAAAAGTGGTTGGGAAAACTTAAAAAGTCACTTTCTATTATTAATACATAACATATTTATGATTTAAGGCCAGACTTGTCCCCTATAACCCTGTGTTCAACTCTCAAGATTTAGATTAGTCAACATAACTAAGAAGGACATATTAAACTAGGAATAATTCCAACATGATAAAAGTTCTATATTAAAAATTCCTTCCTGTAATACAGGGTAGAAGTAGGATTTTGATCACTCTATTTTAAAATAAATGTATTTAGCTTGAAATAAGTACTGTCCGACCTAAACATCTGGAAATGTGTAAAAATGGGATTCTCTAAACTCTAATCTAATCCCTCTGAACAATTATTCTCTAGTATTTCCTTTGCATGTTATTCTGGGAAAACAGGATAGAGCCTTGATAGTTGATAGAGGACATTTTTGTTTACCAAACAAGGACTGGAAAGCTTCCTACCTATTAAAGATCCTGACTGAAAGCTTTAAAGTGAATAATAAAAAGCTAAGAAACTGATACTTATTATTCCTGATTGAGGAATGAAAAGACAGATTTTCAGATTAACTACAAATCAATCACTCATCACAGACAATAATATTCTGAGTAGTAAATTTTTTAATTTAAAAATAAGAATTCATTATTCACTTTTCATCAAATAATCTATTCCAATATTGAAGTTCTATAAATATATATAATTGATCCTAAATATTTTTCTTTCAAGTTTTCATATTAGACACAGAAATTCACCACTGCCAGTCAGTTGCTTCCATGCAGTGTAGTTTCGTTCAATAAAAGTATTATTACAATAATAACTCCATTTATTGTTTGTTAAGTAATCTTTGAACAATTGATATATTTCTTTAAAGCCTTCAACTCTTTTATTTTGAAAACTTACCACTGCTGCTGCTGCTGCTGCTGGAGGTTCTACTGCAGGAGATTCCTCTTTGGTTGATGTCTCTTCTGCTGGCTTCACTTCAGCTGGTTCCTAGATAAACAAACAAATAAACAATCAATAATCGGAAGTCAGTTGGAAAATCTGACAACTAGTTTTTACCCCCATCAGTAAATTTTAAAGTGCAATTTAAAAATGTTAAGTTCTGTCACCAAATTTGAAAATATGGCAATCAGTTTTTATACTTGTTAGAAATGTTAACATCTGAAATATTTGTCTGATAAGAAAATGGCTAGCTGACTAGTTGGCAAAGTTGGAGCAACATCCCCCATCCCTATTCCCCCATTCAAAATGTGTCAAGAGAAAAAAACACTATAAAAATAACATGCAGAATAATTGCATAGTTCATCAGTTTGAATACATTTCACAGAAAATGGGATATCCTTCTAACTTCTAAGTAATGACAAGGATCTATATTGGAAAAAAATTGAAAGTGAAAATGAAACTACTTTGGCTTCTGACCACTAAAACCACACTACATGAATTTCAAGTAAAATCTAAAAAGCAACAGAAAGTGTGTAGCACAGATACACTCTACTGGTACAGTAAAAACCTTGAGATCATGTCATGGTTATAAATACATACAATGTATGTACACTGTAGCATGTCCTCATCAGCTCAAGTTTGCCAAATAACCTGCTATTTTCAGACTCAGGATATTATCCTGAAGCTTGAAATTGCGTCTTCACCAGACCGATACGCTCATCTCAAACTAGCTTGGATGGGCGCAAATTAGCCCGCTATTTTCCAAATAGCAGGATATTTGGAAACAAGACCCAAGATTTCTTGGGATATTTTCTCGACCAAATGTCCTGCTAATTGCAACTGCAGGCTGATGACAACGCTAGCGATCGGGATAGTTTAAATATCTGGTTATTTGGCAAACGTGAGCCAATGAAAACAGGCCGAAAGAGCATGTCCTCAAGTCAGAGTAGTATACTGACAAGTGGCAACATCCATCCGTCCCTCAAGAGCAGCACATTTCATTAAATCATATTTAATAAATAGCACTGAAAAGTATTCTAACCCTAAGGGTCACAACTTTTCGAATCTTATCATTTCACAGTTTATCAAATATTTATGTTGCACTCAAGTACAGAGTTGGCACGCACTTGTGAAAACATGTTATAAAGGGCCTACAGCACACTTTCGCAATCAGAGATTGGAGTGCTTTGTATGGATGCATTGGCAATATAGAAATGCTATGATGCGTGGAAAGTTATGTTTTTGTGACAACTCTTCTACTATAAGACATGTACTATTCACTTATTGTATGAATACCAGAAAACAATATCAAAAGGGAGGATTAGGGAATGTTTTCCAATAAAAAACTCCAACTAATTTTTTTTTAATCAGGGTCAGCTTGCCATGTGAACATTGCCTGGTATGGGGATGTTTCATCTCACTACACTTCAGTCCCAATCACATTACTTTTTATGATGTTTATTTGTGAGATATGTATCCTGCATGTACTCCTGTTTCGCTATAAGGTTGTCAAATGTGTGTTTTTCAAATAAGAAGTCTTCATACAATTTGTTCTCTTCTGAATGTGAAAGGGGTGTATGTGTAATGGCTGCATGCTGCCACAACATTGTGAAACTGAAATTACAATCAGAATTCCTGAGGTTAACCATTATACCTACAAATCATGATAGTAACAAAAGAATCTCAGAATGCATTCTGCATTATGAAAGAGAGGAAACATAGTCCACAGTATATATGTTGCTGATGCCATTATCATAAATTAGCAATTCAATGGCTCTTCCTTGCAAACAAAAATTGAAAATGCATTTAAAATTGTCTTTTATGTATTGGGAGAAACTTATCATTTGAAGTGAGATCAATAGACTATGTTTCTTTAGTGAAACAGAATTTGTTATCTTTTTCATTTCTAAATCCGCAAAGAGCTATTACATTATTTAAAACTTAAAGTTGAACTACAATTAGGAACACATCTGTTCTCAAATCTATGTTTGGGTCAAACTTACAAATGTTTACTCTTCCAAAATATCTCCAGCTGAAACCTAGTCTAATTAGAAGCAAATATCTCACTGAGCAGATATTCTGCATATCAGCATTAAGAAATAGTGTTGTCTTTAACTATAACTGAAAAACTTAATTCAATTAGGATGCGAGTAATGAACAAAGAAATCTGGAAACCGAGTCTGACTGTAAACAGCCTTGGGTGCAAATTATGCTCGCATACAATCACTGTTTTATCTAATTTGTTACACTCATGCAGAATCGCACACACACAGTAAAGTTGCCATCTCTGTCATTTTAGCCCATCCATCTACGCAGGAGCCTTGTCTACGGACTGAAGAGAGCAAATTAAAGGTTTACAACTCTCAAGCTGCTTTCTCCATATAAGGACGCCACCGAGGCTTAATGCTCAAGACTGGTGGCCTGTTTTTCCTTCTTACTTGCGATGTTATCTCTGCACCTTCTGTGCAGGAGAAAGGGTTGCCAGACGCACAGCCAGCGCAAGGCGGCGGCGGCAACAACACAAACCTCATGCATGTGTGTCAGACAAAAGCTGGCTTGTCTGAGCATGGTTGTCGGGGTGTAGTAAGAGTTCATCTGATTAGGGTTAGGTTGTGGCAAAGAGCCAGGCAAATCGTTCTACCAGCTGCCAGGTTAAAGTGAAACTTTCCTCTCCTCCTGCCTGCCAGGAGAGCTAGGATCGCTCGAGAGCCTTCTTGCTCAAGAGGATTGGACATGGTGTGTACGTCAGAGACGACAACTGGTCACGATGACATATCTTGGAATATGACTGACGCACTTTGGCTTAAATTCATGTCTCTTTCACAAGAGATGAATTTACTATGACACAAAAAAGTGCACATTTATGTTGGCAAATACATCACAATAAGGGTCAAATAAAAAGGTTAAAGGGCTAAGTCAAACAAAAGTTGTATTCCGTTGTTTGAAGATACTTCTTTTCCTTGCCAAGAATGGATGTAGGCCCCTAATGAGAAAGAATGATTTGGGGTACATATACATTTTCTTTATTAAGCAATGCTAAATAGATACAAACCATTTCTGTTCACAAAGCACATCTTTAAAAATGTTAATTGGTACTAACATCCCAAATCCCAATCTAATATCTATGAAATTTTGTGAAATAATCACCCCAAAATCTTCCAACATAAAAAAAACAGGATCAAATTATGACGTATTAATATCCCAAAATCCCGCTCAAGAAAGACTCCCTCTTTTGATCATGGGAAACAAGATGTTACATTGAAAAATAAAATCACACAACAAATAATCAAAAATGTTGGTCAAGTGAACATACTCAAGGCAAAATAACATTCAGGTACACATCGCATGTCTGAACAGTTCTATTAGCATCATGCCATCCAAGACTCATGAAAATTTAGATACCAAAATAATTGAAGTGTGTGTAAATGTTTTAGAGAGATGTCTCACGATATAAGAGTACTGGGAGCACTTCTGCCGAAACGTCGTCTTTCACCCCATATCTCTCGCATCACTGGTAGTTGCTAGGCAACCAAGGAGTCGGGGAGGAGAGCCTGTGAATAGATTTCATATCTTAGTGAAATAAGCACTCCTTGAATGCCAAACATTCCAACCTATAATATCTCTCTGTTGTGTCACTTCCACATAGTCACAAGACCAATTATTGGGTCACCTTCACTCATGCCGATGTAATACGTCTCAAAACTGGCAGCAGCAAGGTAAATACCTTTTTTGTGTGTGAAAGGGGGTTAAAACAATAGCAATATGCAACAATGGCTTCTGTGCATACCATGTGCATTATATCATACAAAAATACAAAATATGCTAAACTCATGTATTTTTTTCTTGTTTGGAGGAGAGGGAAGGGGGAGGGGGAGTGGGGGTTGCATTGTATCTCGTCATATGTGAATGAGGCTTTTCCCTTCCAAATAGCTTTATTTGTCAGAGAATACAACTGCCAGACCCCTGCTGTGGAAATTGTTGTGAGTTCATGCTGTGAGCCCCCCATGCATCTTACCAGAGGCCATAGAACGATCACGGTTTGACACGCTTTCTAACAGCTAGGGAGAATGGGTTAATTTGTACCAATAATGTCTAGATTTTCTTTCAAGTTTCATTTTGCTGGAAAATATTGATTGCATGTGACAAAAAGTGTTTTGTGCAATGATACTGGGTTGTGGTAAACCAAATATGCAACAGAAATAATAAAGAGATTTATTTGAATGGGTGCCAATGCCATATTCTCTTGATTCCTACCTTTGTATTACTATTAGGCCTATATATATACATGTATGTATCAAGTAAATAATAACAAAATAAGTTTATATTTATTTAGAACAGACAAATATGGAAGAGAAATTATAATCTGAACCACTGCATTATTTCCTCATATCTTCATATTTATTTCCTGTTGATTCTACGTGTAGTTTCACTTTTGCAAATGTTTATCAATAGTAAGTGGTACAGGAAGTATAACAAGATACACAGCTACAAATCACAAATGACAATGTTTGTTTTATTTGAAGAAACTGTTTGTGACAAGGTCTAAAATGGGATATTGATTGGGTGTACCAGTTAATCATAATATCGTGCCTGGTTAAGAAAATATGGAACAAATATTTTTGAAGTGCTAAAAGATTGATTTTTCTTTTCAGTATAATGAGAGAGACTGTTCATCTGACAGTGCATCTGACCTCACGTTTATAAATACCGTTAGTGAAACAGATTCACACTGTCCCAGACACAAATGAAGTGTGAAATATCTAGAGATTCTTGGTAGAAAAGTACATGCATATCACAGTGATGGGAAAAGGAAATGGATGATTGTTGAATACCGTCGATTGCCATTTCTAATGTGGTAGGAAAGAAGATGATTTTTTTCCCTTTGAAGGGACTTCGTAACACTGTTAAGATAAGAGAAAATGATGCTAAGGTAGTGACTTCAATGCTAGATGTACAATTAAAGATAATCTGAAAGTTTGAGTGAAAACGGACCATTATTACCGATAGAAATTGGGAAAAACTGATCTGATCGATCCTTAATTCTCCCAACCATATTATTATAATTTAATTACATTTTAGCTGAATGTAAATCGTCACTAAGCATCAAATTAGTTCTATATACCATTCCAGACATTTAAGTGTTGAAAAAAAAAGATTTAAGCCTGTTTTTTGTCTTATTTTCATGAAAAAATGGTTGGAAAAATTCAAAAATGGTTGGGAGAATTTACTGTCAATCGCTGTTGGAGGGTGTTGACCAGTGTTGCCTTCTTAGACCATTAATATCTTTGTGATATGAGAATTTTTTCAGGATTTTTTCCATGCTAGAGGGTAGGTACAGTAGAAGGTAGATAATAAGTAACATTTCATACCAAAATTATGCAATTTGTTAATCAACCTTCAACAATGTTACCGAGTGAGTCCGAGTCACTTTACTATCTAAATGTCATTTTCTATGATATCTCGTTTTCATTCTCTGGTGCTCCCTACTTCCTTGGCCTTTTGATGATAAACTTTTACTAGACGGTCTAGACCTAAATATGATGCTTGATAAGCATAATGTACAGACAAGGAATAGGATACTAGGATATACCATGATTTCAAAAAAGATTCCTTTATTAATAGATATCTTGAATTGATCAATACACAGATGACATACAATGGTAATCAATTAATGGATAATTAAGGAAATCCCAAACGGCCCCTGAAGTTCACTCATTTTCTCTAATCCTCCAAACAGACTGGCATTTCATAAAAATTAAAACTTTAATTTATTAGGTCATTTAAAGGTACAGATGGTATGGGGAATAACGTTTTTAATGACATTCATCATCATTATCATTTATTAATGTCAGTATTTTCCCTCTCTTGAGGGGTTACTGACTTTCGCGCCATGATGACACTCCCTCAATGTCCATAAAGTCATTGCTGATGAAGATGATATTTTGTGATCATAATAATGTAATATTAAGAGTGATGACAGTTAAATTGATCAAAAATAGTAGTGGTGTCAACTTTAATATTTCAATAACTCAGCTCATCATAAGAAATTTCATGAGAGAAGAGAGATTCATGTGCAATAATGAAAGCTGGCATTGCAAACTCATGTCAACCTCATTACAATGTAGGAGAACGACAACAGTCGTGATGGAGCAAGGCTGTTCTCAAATTCTTCTCCAACACCGTCATGATGACTCACATGACTTTCTCGCTAATGGTAGAATGAATGGGAGCATGGTCATCGACTCATCATGCGGGGAAAAACATCCTCCATGTGCGGCGGTGGAGTTTGCTGACTGGTCAGATTACCCAGAGTGCCTTTCGCATGTCTCAGCATCTAACTCATTCACCACATCGATACATTAATATTTGGGGAGAACGCAATGTTGCTTTAATGACATCCAATGCTGCTAAGGCAAATTTCCAGGGAGTCGAGCGGAAATGAGTGATTGCTCCGTGAGTCAACCCAGTTCCAACCCAGACGATATCAATGTTAAGACCTCAGAGTTCAACATCACTTTATAATCCTTACTTAGGGCTCTGACGCAACAAAGTATTAGCTGTATGACCATATTAGCCTCACGAGGCTCATGCCTATGTAATTACAGATTACTTCACTACATGAATGCGATTTCTAAGTTTGGTATCTACGTGCGATTCCGCACGCCTTTCCTACGCGATAGGGATGACAGGAATTAAAAGTTGGCTTTGGAGAATCTTGTGTCCTGCCACAAATTACATCCTGTATTCCTGCATAGACTGATTAGAAACTTGTCAAACATCATCACCTCCTACACTACAATTCATACATCGTCTGCTCCCGCAGCCAGCGTGGCTTTAAAGGGAGATGGCAGTCAGTTTCCACGTGCAGTAGGTCATAATTAGCTGACACCAGACTTGGTGGAAATACCATTAAATGGGTGAGCAAGTCTCACACACAGCAAACCTGTAGTCCCATCAAGAAATACCCCCTAGTCTCTCGGAGAGTCTTTGGGTGAGGGAAATATTAGATAATGACTTTCCCTTGTGAAGGCGATTGGTGGAAAAAACTAAGAGAATTACATAAAACTTGTTGGTCATAAAACAGTAGGCTAATCATGGTGATTGCCAACACCTATTATTTGGTTAACACTCAAATGGTGTCAAATTTTCCATGAGAGCCCACTACCAAGCATCACATCCTTCAACCTATAGTTATCACCCTTTAGACTCTCAAGAACATCATCATATTAAAAGACTCAACAAATATTACCCCTTGTATCTTATGAACAGACATCTGTCCTGTTCTACCAATGGTGGTGATATCAGAGAAGGAGGAGGAAGCTTATTCTTAATTTTGGGAGCAGCAAACCGGAGGGGAAAACCCAGATTTGTGGGCAAGTCTAATGTATTTTGCCGCATAGTACAGACTACATCAAAGATCATGATTTTATTAGATCAGAGCTGACCAAACATCAAAGAGAAAGAGATAATCTTTCTATTCAGGTTCAGTAGTTCACGGTACTTGATAGTGTATGGGGAAAAAATGACTGAATACCGAAAACCAAGAAACTTCTGTGGCTTGAAACTGATTTTCATAGCAAAATTATTCACAACAAATTTTAAAAATTCAAATTAGTGTCAATTGTAATTTTGCAGCATGAAACTGTCAGGAATTTGAAACACTTACAGAATTCATGAAAATGTTATTCTTATGAACACTTCTTTTATGGTAACTTGGACTTGTCTTGTAGTCTATAAAATTTCAACTCACCTGGGCTGGTTTGTCGTCTTGGCTGGCTGCTTCCGGGGCTGCTGCGTTAGACTCACCCCCAGCTTCTTGTGGGGCAGGGCTGGCCGCTGCTGCTGCAGCTGCCGCTGGCTCAGCTGGGCTCTCTGCCGGTTTACTTTCTTCTCCAACCTTGGTTTGGACTTCTTCTGCCTTTCCACCCTACAAAAATAGCAATAAAAAGGATGGAAAATATATGAAATTGCATAGTAAAGTTGAAAAAAATAAACATACAAAATCAAACAAACATTGATATTTTGAGGTTTAAGGGTTTAAGGGTACAAGGATGTGAGAGCTCTTAATAGTCAAGAGGTTGATATTTCAGATCGCTGCCCAGTGCTTAATCTTGAGTATGCCCTTGGGGAAGGCATTTCAACTTCAGTTGTGGGTTAAATATGTAAACTATTTTGATATTGCATCTAATAAGTACAATGTACCTATTTTGTGAAGAAATTCTGGAGTTGGGGTCTTGCATATCAGTTCAGAGATTTATTTCAAACTTCGTCACATCTCTAATCAGGTGATGATGGTAGTCCCATCCAGGAATACAAACCCTCACGAAATTTACGGTCATCTTCACAGTTAAACCTCATATCTACTTCTGTGTCAACTCTTTCTTATGGTAATCGCTCTATTTGCAAAGCTTCTGCTGAACTTTGGAACAGACTACCTTTAAATGTCAAAAACTGTCAAACTGTTAACCTATTCAAAACTAGTCTTAAGACACATTTATTCAAAATTGCGTTCGATAATTAATTAACTCTGTTCACTTTGATGTGTATTCCATATGTATCGTAATTTGTGGGTTTATTTGCTCTTTTTAGTTTTGTTTAATATGTAATTGTATATCAGTCTATTTTGTGTGTTATAGTGCTTAGAGACTTCAGTGGTAAGCGCTTTATAAGTAACGTTTTTATTATTATTATTATCTACAGGTTAAAATCAAATTCAGATAATGGAGTAGTTTCTTTTTCAATTTGGTTTAATTTTACTAAACCCACTTCCTGATTGTGAGTTTCCCTCATGTTTTATCTTTAAGATACTAGGATTGATTATAACAAACTTTTTTATGAAACCAGTTTTATACCAACCAGTTGACCTTTGTATTTATTTATCGACTATTTCAGACCATACATGAAGGATTCAGGAAGAGGTAAACGGAAAATGTTATATATTGACTGTGGCATTTATCATCCCTCTTCCTACTCCATTCAAAGATCAAATATCAAACTTTATGAGGCACAGCCAACATAATTCATATCTGTATATATACACATCTAATAGTTGTAAGAATGATATCAATCATAATGATATTCATTACTCACTGGAGTAACCCCATCCTTTAAAAAAAAAAAGGCCTAAAACCAAAGACCAATTTATCCAATCATTCACAATCGTGGCTCTGTTGAAATACATAGTCTGTTTACTATAAGAAGTAGAAAGTCTTGAGTCCACAGTTTTACTTTGGAAAGTCATCCAGAATGTTGAATATAATTTGAATAAATAGTCTCAGAAGCAGAAAGACTTAAGTCCATATATTACTAAAGTTAAAAGGCATTCAGGAATCAGGATTCTAATTTTAATATAATACATAATCTCAGAATTAGAAAGACTCAAGTCCAATTACTTCATTGTAAAGTTATTCAGGATACCGGTTCTATTTCACACATAATAGTGAATGAAATACATAATCTGCATAAGGAGCATGAAGAGTCGAGTCCACAGATACATTGTGCAATCACAGATCACTATCTGAAATCATTATAAAAGCATCATCATGGGGTCATCACATAACACACACAAGTCTGCTGGCTTGCAATTAAGACTGACATGGGGCTACTAGAAAGGAGAACAGCATCTCATGTAATTGAAACCTATTAATACCAGCAATTTAGTCAATAAGCTATCCCACCACTGCAACTGATTGTCATGCTGTGAGTATAGGGTTTCACATCCACAGTCTATTCTCCTTCAATGAACGCTCAATCTGAAGATATTCATGTAGGCCTATGAATGAGGTGTAGCAAGTGATGAGGTCAGACATTAATGGGCAGTGTCATGTGTTGTAATCAAAGTAATATAGCTCTGACACACTAATCAAGAAGGTAATGATGTGACGCAAATTGGTTTATAATTTGACTCGATTTCCAGGTTATAGATAGGCCTACATGTAGTTCATTCAAGCTTCCACACTATCTCTTTTCACAGATGGTTCAAAATGAAAATGTTAGGGTCTGTGGGCGTAGGGCCCCTGTTGAATTTGATTGGGTTTTTTTTTTTTTGGGGGGGGGGGTTCAAATATGTATGAGCCCCATGCTTGTTAGTGACATCCTCTGCTAACATAGAGTAATATATCTTAGCAAGTGAGGCTAGTTTTGTGCCAAATTCTAGTTTCTAGTAATAAATAACAATAACTTTGATTTCTATATGGCTTGATCAATGGAACAGCCCCTCCCTCCCCTCTTAATAAAACAGTCAAATACAGCATGTCATCAGCTGCCCCCGTAATAAGGCCATAAGATTTTCTCTGGGAGAAAAGGCCTTCTCACAGGCAGCAAACTGTATGAATAAGCCCTTTGCGGGTTAACAATAACATCACATTGCTGACTTCAGTTGCATAATCAAATTGAGAATGTCCGTCCTTCAAAAATACAATTGTTAGTTATCTTTGAAGGCAATTGGCAAATGTAGGTCAGGTTTTCTATATATCTTGAATTCTATTTAAAGGTCTATCAGGTTCTACATGCTTCCACCAAATGTGAAAGATAATGGTTCCAAGTGATTATCGGAAAATCCTGTTTCCTTTTCCCCTTCCATGCAGGTGGCTGGCCTTCATGGCCTACAATGTAAAAGTAATTATAGGCTCTATAATCTTGTCGATAAGGGAGAGGAAGCCTTCAGTACCGTTAAACCAAGAACACTGGCCACATGAAACTTTTTGTGGTTATTAATAAGGTTAAACAGCCCAGACACCATTCAATATGAAATTCAACTTACTTGTCTATAATTTCTAAATTAAGGGAAAAAAAACATGCTCATCATAGGAACAAGTGCTTTGCATTTCCACATTTAATCAGATTGAAAAAGCTTTTTGAACTTACACTGAACCAACTACATTACTACAATACATCCATCTCTCCTTATGCCATCAGATATATATTCAGAGCGACTATGGTTGGAACACACGATTCCAATCTATTATCTATCTCAGTCACTTTCAGGACTCTTCCACTCAAGATCAGATGTGAGGTGAGCTTGGTGGAAGGGCCCCTTCAATCAAAGTCAAACACACACAGGTTTATCATTATACTTGGCCCTATTCACACTGCATGCAGAGTACCGCCTTACAAACTTCCGCAGGAAATAATAATGTGTAAATCAGTGGCAAGAGGAAAGTTTGTAAGGATATTAAACATAGCCACATGTAGCAATAGCCTAACATGAACCCACTATGTTGTGTGTTGTAAAATACTGAAATATGAAATGAGTAACGGTTATCTCATTTTATTATTATCATTATACTAAGCCCTGTTTACACTGGACACTGTGAACTGTCTTTTGAACTTCCGCAGTAAATTATAACATGTAAATGAGTGGCAAGAGGCAATTTCGTAGGAGTAAAAGAAAACATAGCCACATGTGTATGTAGTAATTACCCTATTTAAACATGTACCCACTATTTTGTGTGATATGAAATACTAAAACATAAAATGCTTTACAGCTACCTTATTATAATTTAAACACGGTCACAAAGATTTTAAAGAAATCAACTCAAGGGCAACTTCATAACATTATTGTATTGCCTCTCAAATGTGTTTGAACTGTTCGTCAATTTTAAAAGGTGACGCACAAAGTTTTTTAAATTCGCCTTCGGAAAATTTCTTCACAGACTTATGATCATGTTTTTACATAAATTCTTCTCTCTTTTCTAAGGGGGGGGGGGGGGGAGGGGGTAGGGGGTAGGGGGGAAAGAGGAGAGGGGGGTTAAGGTTTTCTGTCTCAGTTCTAAATGGGGCGCTACACTGTACGTTGATAGCCACCATGGATCATACACTGATCTCCGAGTAATGAGCTGTCTCATCTGTTCATTCTTACAAGACTGTTTCTGGTCATTAGGCCAGTCTAAGATTCCACGACCTGGGTAGTCACACCCATCAAAATGTGATGACAGCAGTGGTCAAGTAAAATAGAGACCCTATGGCATTTGGCAATTAGTTGCAATAAGTAGTGTTTTCTGTCATTATTGTAGATGTTCAATTCCCCATAATGAGGTTCATCCAAAGTGACTACCGAGGTATGTTCATATTAAATGCCTGTCTTAAACTCCACTACCTGGACTTTCACACATATCATAATGTTAGGGTAGTAGTGACTGACAAATGAGGAATATAAATATGAAATTGAAGATATTCAATCCCAACACTCTTTATACTTGCTTTTTAAGTTTGTGTCATTATGGTGTTACAACAAGATTTCTTATTCATGCCTATGAACATCAAAGTCCCTTCATCAATATCAGAATTCTTCAGGCTTCTGTTAACTGACATTTAGGTTTCTATAGTGAGTATGTGTTTCAAAATGTAAGACATTTTGTAACTCCATGAGGTACATGTAACTTGTATGAAATATGCATGGATCACATGTAGCTTACCGTACTATGTTGAGATCCAGGAGTAATGTAAACATACCAAATCATTATATTATCTGACTTTCTAATTTCTACCAGTCAAGTGTACCGGGGCACAAATAATTTTTTGAGAGAAAGTGAGAAGGGTATTAACCCTGTGTGAAATAGTATGACTTTAATAATTAATGCCCATATGGCTCTCAACAGATGATCTTTAGCTGCATTCATGTGTAAGTCTCAAGCCAAGATTCCATCCTCTCCATCAACTTCATCCACAAAAGATCAGAGTTCATTGACACCGTGGGTAGCTGTCATTAACTGGTGAGGGGTCTAGACTTGATGAGCACAAGTCACAGATACTATTCAAGTTCAACTATACATGTGCATGTATGTCCTCTCACACTCTCTCTCTCTCTCTCTCTCTCTCTCTCTCTCTCTCTCTCTCTCTCTCTCGAACTCTCTATCTTCTGTCTTACTCTCCCCTCCCCCTTCTTTTTCTCTCTCCCCTCCCCCTTCCCTTTCTCTCTCTCCCCTC